AAACTCAGTAATATGGTTATCTATCTTATACACTTAAATATATATGCAGTTATATCTTTTAGAGAACTTTCTTTTCCTTTCATTTGTACAATGACAATTACACATTTTGGGATTTATTACTCCCACAGTTCTTATTACTCTTTTTTTTTTTTGGAAGAAAGTAAAACCAAATGTGACATACCAGGACAGAGTCAGTCAAATCAAGAGGATGGACGTAATACATAATGTAAAAACAAAATACAAGGTGATCAACAATGGTTACCATAATGCCTCTTGTTGTCTTAAAAAAAATTGCCTATATCATCAGTTATAATAAAATTGAACAAAACAGTAAAGAATAAGACCAATTGGAGACATTGGAGACATTAGAGGACTTCAAAAGAAGATAATAGTCAACCAGAATGGGCATCACAATGAATCTTATTGTCTTCATAGTTGTTGCCTATACTTTCAAACTTGGTACTATCAAGTATAACAGAATAGAGGAAAATCAGTCAAAAGATGGTGAGAGCAATACAGGGTTTCAAATCAAGTTAATAGGAAGTCAAAGTGGGTTACTATAGTATATCCTGCTATTTTAAATTTATTTTTCCCTTAAAAGGATAAAAATGAAAAAGTTGATAATAAAAAGGAGATTGAGATAAAAAAGAGGGCATAACAACAAAACAGCGCAGGTCAAAACATAGCCATTTAAGCAAAATAGTGCTTCACCACAAGGTAATCTCGACATAATAGTAGTTACCATAGTGTCTCTTCCCTTAAAATCTTTGGGTATAACTTCGTATACTGTAGCATCAAACATATCAAGACAATGTAAAACTGTTCAAGAGAATGACAGTATTACAGGGTATTTAGAATCAACTAACAGAAAATGAACAATGGTTTCTGTATAATCTCCTTGTCTATAAAAGTTTTTGATTATATTATCACATATAATGAAATCCAATAAGATACAACACGTTAAAACCAATGGAGACAGAAGAACAAAAGCTTGATGGAACTTCAAAGCAAGAGGATATTAAATCAGCACTACCTATTATGATGTCTTGTTTTCTCCAAAATGGCTGTTCCTACCATCCAACCTTCTCTGCCTCATTTCTGTTGAGCTCTTTTTCTGTCATTAGTTGTCAGTTTGTCTTCTTCATTTCGCTTTCTGCTCATTGTGGCCACTCTGTCACTATTTCTGGAATCTTGGTATTTTTCATTTTTAGAATATCCTGCAGTAATCTCTGTAGAGTAGAATTAATGGTTGCAATTCCCCTAGTTCCTCTTTATCCTGGAAGCACCTTGTTTTTCCATCAATTTCTAGGGACAGTTGTGCAGGATATATCAATTTTGGCTGGAGGTTATTATCTTTCAAAGCTTGAATTAGTTCCCCCCCACTCTCCGTGATTTGATGGTTTGTGCCGAGAAGGCTGCTGTAATTCTGATTGGTGTTCCCTTGTAAGTGATCTGTTTCTTGTCTTTGACGGCTTTTAATATTCTGTTCTTATATTGGATTTCTGGAATTTTGATTGTTATATGCCTGGGTGTAGCTCTGTTTGGGTTGTAGGTGGCTGGGGTCCTGTATGCCTCATACATCTGAGTATCTTTACATTTTGCTAAATTAGGGAAATTCTCCTGGATTATTTCTGTGAATAGCTTTTGTAGTTCATTTTTTGAGTCCCTACTTTTTCTTTTATGCTCTTAATTCGTAAGTTACAGATCCTCTTATCATCTTCTAGTCTTTGTATTATTGCTGTTTGTTTTCTTGTTATTTTTAAGAAGTTTTTCATTTCATGCTCCCACCTTACAAATCTGTCCTCCAGTTCTGATAATCTATCCTTAGTTTCTTTCAAGCTATTATGCCAGCTTTCAATAGAGTTTTTAGTTTCCTGGTAATCTCTTTGAACCTGCTTCACGTATTCTATGTTTTCTCTATTTTCTCAATCAAACAATTCTCCCCTTTTTTTCTGTTCTTCCATGCCACCATCTGTTTTTTCTTGGGCAGTGCTTAGCATTTCTCTAACTGTTCTACTTATTTCTTGCTTTATTTCATTAAATACTTCATTTTTGAACTCGTCTATGAGGCTCCGGAGGTATCGCTTTATGTCTATAGGTGCCGTGTTTGATATTGCATGTTTTCTGTCCTCATTCTCCTTTGCATTTACCTTTCCTGCATCAGTGTTCTCAGGATTGGGGACTGAGGACCCTTTCTTGTTGCTCCCTTTTCTCATACTTTTTGTTCCTTCCATACAAGCGTATGTAGGAGGTCCAGTTTTTTTTTTTCCTCTTTGTCTGTTACAGTTTGTTTGAATCCACCGGCTAGGTGTTCCCACCCACTGCAGTGAACTAGGGAGATACAGACCTGGGCAGCCTCTGTTGGGCCCGCCCCTCCAGGTCAACCTGCTGAATGCTTCACTGCTAGGGTGTACCGCCAGGTGCAGGGACGTTATTTGGGCTAGCCTACTGGATCTTAGTCCGCGGCGTCAGCAGGCCAAGCGCTCCTCACCACTCCCGCTTGAGAGGGGAATATGTGACTAAAGTCACTGCATGGCCCTGTTCCGGCTAGTCTGCTCGTTCCAGAATATCCTCTGTTGGAGCCTCCTAGTCTATGAAAGGGTGCCCATTTGTCTCACTCACCGCAGGTCGATGTAGGGCTCCCTGCCAGTCCCGCTCTCAACGCTGTTTGGTTCGCCATTTCCAGCTCTCAGAGCTTTCGCATGTCTCTCTCCCTGCCGTGCGGATTGGGACGCAGTATTGGCAGCAGGAAATTCAAATCACAGCTTCCAATGGTGCGGGATCCAGCTTCCCCACCGAGATTTTATCTGTTCTGTTGTAGCATCAGGATTGCATTTCCAGTTGGTTTCTCTCAGCTTAGTTCGTTCCTGGGTCTGCAGGGTACATCTCCTCTCATGTAGGACTCCTCACACGGCACCGCTTCTGGATTCTAAACTGGTAATCTCAGAGAGCCTCAGTGGCTGCTGTTATTTGTCCGCCATGTTCTCCCGGAAGTCCATTTTTTCTTTATTTTTTTGAAATTCCTTTTCTCTCCCCCCCTCCTTCTCTCTCGTTTCATTTTTCCATTTGAAAATGATCTCCTTACTTCCTATTATATATCTTTTATTTTGCTCTTTATTACTTGGGTTACTCATAAAAGAAACCATGCAATATTTAAACTTGGTGTGTAAATTATTTCACACACTATTATGGTCTGTAAGTGCATCCGTTTACCTACAAATGCCTCAGTTTTGTCCTTTTTGGCAGAGGAGTACTCCGTTATGCATCTGTGTCATATTTGCTTTATTCACCCAATCTGTTGAAGGGCATATAGACCATTTCCAACATCTAGCTATTTTAAATTGTGCTCCTATAAACGTGGACATGCATGGATCACTCTAATATGATGACTGTAACTCTTTCAGGAAGATTCCTAGAAGGGGAATTAGCTAGGTCAAGTGTAATTTTCAGTTTTACTTTTTTAAGGAGTCTCCAAACTGATTTTGTAGGTTGTACTAGTTTATAGTCCCAACAAGGATGTGGAAGTTTCTTTTTTCTCTGCAAGGTTGCCAGTACTTGTTATTGATTCCTTTCCTTCCTTGCTTTCTTTCTTTTTAAAATTTTTTTTTATTTTTTTGAGACAAGGTCTCACTGTGTAGTCCAGGCTGGCCTTAAATTTGCTATGTAGCTGAGGGTGACCTCAAACTCCTGGTGATACTCCTGCCTCAGGCACTGAGTGCGGGAATTACAGAGCTGTGCCATCACACCTGGATTTATTTGATTTCTTGATGATAGCCATTCTTTCTGGAGTAAGGTGGAATCTCAGTGTTGTTTTAATTTTCATTAATGGCCAGTGATGTTGAACATTTTTTCGTGTATTGGCCATCTGTACTTCTGAGAAGTGTGTTCACTTTGGTTGTCCATGTTTTGATTTGGATTTTAAATTTTGTGGTCTGTTTGAGTTCTTTATGTATTGTAGATGTTAGTCCTGTGTGGAACAGCTGGCAAAATTTTTTTCCCATTCTGTAGATTTTTTTTTTTTCTTTCCCCTTCAGTCTGTTGGTTTCCTTTGCTGTGCAGAAGGCTTTTCATTTCATGTAATCCCGCTTGTGGATTCTTGGTGTTATTTTTTTGTACCAGTGGGGTTCCATTCAGGAAGCCCTTGCCTATGCCTTCAAGAGTTTTACCTATTTTATCTTCCAGCAGTTTTAAGTGTGTCAGTTTTAGCATTTAGATCTTTGATTCATTTTGATTTTAGTTTAGCGTATGGTGAGGCATATGGGTTTAAACTCAATCTTTTGTATTTGGTTATCCAATGTTACCAGCACCATTTATTAAAAAGGCTGCCTTTCCTCCAGCCCCCCCCCCCCCATATCGGGAATTGAACTCACGACCATGCGCTTGCAAGGCAGGCGCTTATGCCACTGAGCTAAATCCCCAGTTTTTTTGTACTGGGAAACAAACTCGGGACATTGCCAGGCAAGTGCTTGTGCCACTGAACTATATCCCTGGCCCCATCTCCAGGTTTATACATGTTTTGTCCTGTGGTTGAGATGAGAAAGGGGTTGTGTACAGTGCTGCCCTACTGCTGATCCATGTTAAATCCTCAGTGTGTGATATGGGTGTGTGTGTGTGGGTGTGTGCGTGTGTGTGTGTAGTTTAAACTGTCAGGACTGCATTTAAGATTTTAAACTGCTCAACTATTGGAAATGGAGTTTAAAACTGGGAGTCTAATGGTGATCTGATTTTGCATTTTTTATTCAGTATTTGTTATGGGAGAATACAGTTTTAAATAAAACTGTTACTTTTAGCTTTGTTTAGAGAGTTAGAGTCTAAAGAAAAACACGTTAATTTTAAAGGAAACTTTTTATTTCGTTACACACTTAAATCACAATTTTCAGATTTTGTGCTGCCGATTAATGTTTTCCCAAGGGACATTGTTGCTTTAACATAAAACAGTTTTTGGTGGTCTGTTTTTAAAAAATACTTCTAACCAAATTAATTGTTTTTCTTATTAACAGACATATGCAGAGTGTGTCGGTCAGAAGGAACACCTGAGAAACCTCTGTATCATCCTTGTGTATGTACTGGCAGTATTAAGTTCATCCATCAAGAATGGTAAGTCTACTTCCAGGAAACTGTATAATTCCAAGCTTCAGTTTTGTCATCTGTTTAGTAAGAATGATTATTTCAACCAACTTGTTTCATAGTTACTTTTAGAATTTGTAAACGTGTGGGAAATACATTATCCATAATTCTTTTGTTTTTGATCGTTTTGAGACAGGGTCTCGCTGTGCAGTTCAGGCTGGCCTTGAGCACACTTTGTAGCCCAGGCTGGTCTTGAACTTGCATCAATCCTCCTGCCTCAGCCTCCTGAGTGCTGGGATTACAGGAGTGTACCACCACACCCAGCTACATTATCCATCATTCTTAATGCCATCCCTCTTGATGTGGTATATTGTGAAAATTCTGTCCCTTAAACGTGCTATTCTTTTCTGTTTAGAGAGGCATATTAGCCTACATTTATGACGTATAGTACTTTGTGCCAGTGTTGTTCTCAGTGCTTTTATTTTGTTTTAGTTTTTAAGATAGGCTCTTGCTGCGTAGTTTAGGCTGGGTTTGAACTCACTGTGTAATCTAGGCCGACCTTGAACACAGTGATCCTCCTGCCTCTGCCTCCAAAGTGCTAAGATTATAGGCATGTGCCACTGCTCCCATCCCTCAGTGCTTCTGTACATTTTAACTCAGCTTTGCAAGAAAGCTGAGGTGGAGTGTATACACATAAGTAAACTAAAACATAGACAGGATAAATGCCTGTCCTACACCACATGACCAGCCAGTTAGTGGAAGAGCTGGGATTCAGCTTGATAACAGATAACCCATGTTACCAGCCTAGTATTAGAACTTGGGAGGTTAATGCTTGGATTCATTTCTGTTCATTTAGTTTTAAAGAGATTATAATTTAGATTAATTGAATCCTTTTAGTAAAAGTATAGTATATATTGTCTTTAGCTAATATAAGTCCTGTATTCCTAGATGGCAGTTATAAAAAAGACTGCTCTAAATTTGAAATTGTCAGAGTATTCTAAATTTGAATCAGTAAGAACTGTAAAAACTCTGTAAAACATAGGATTTTAATCAAAGCAGACTGTTAGTTTTCAACTAAACCTTACTGTCTCTCTGTAAATACTGTATTTATGAATGTGTTTCTGATTACAGCTTAGTTCAGTGGCTGAAACACAGTCGAAAAGAATACTGTGAATTATGCAAGCACAGATTTGCTTTTACACCAAGTAAGTTTTTTCCCCCCCCCCCAGTGTTTTCATTGTAGTGGTTTGGTTATTACCAGCAGTAAAAGGTGTTTAATTGATTCTAAAGTAGTTTTCAGTTTTATTGGTAATAATAGAAAATCCTCATCCATTTAGGAAAGTATTTTTAAATACTGTCATTTCTTAACACACATATAAGTTTTGTAGGTTCCTCCCTTTCCTTTCTTTTAGTTATAGACGTGTTCAAATGTACAAAGCAAGTCCACAAGAGGTACCCACCACTGTCACACTGTCACAGGTCACGCATGACCTGTCTTATTTTACTTTTGCTTTCATTCTTTTTTTTTTTTTTTTTTTTTGTCTTTTTCCTTTTTATTGGTACCGGGGATCGAACTCACGACTGATGGAACTCACGACTGCCTGCTTGCAAGGCAGGCGTTTATGCCGCTGAGCTAAATCCCCAGCCCCTTTGCTTTCATTCTTAACCTATCTCCCCTGCCTCCCACTTTTTCCTGGTCTGTCCTTTTAAAAAAATTTTTATTTTTTCTAACTTTGATTTTTTAAAAAAGACGATCTCACCATGTGTTTTGGGCTGGTGTGGAACTTAGTGTGGCACAGGCTGGCCTTAAAACTCATGGTGATTCTCTTGCCTCAGCCTCCCAAGTGCTGGAATTACAGACACGAGCTGTCATGCCTGCCCAGTAACTGCATGTGTTACATTATGCAGCATGTAAGCATTCTTTTCTGAAAACAACTATCATACTATAGTTGTTATATCTGCTAGAAAAATTAATGGTAATACCCTGTCTTGATTTTGTTAAAACTCTGATTTAGTTGCACACATTAGAATAATAGTAATGAAGACAGTTTTAAATCAAAGCAAGCAGTACTGGGATTTGAACCCAGGGCCTTTCCATGTGCTTGGAAATGTTCTAGAACTGAACTACATCCCCAGCCTTATTTATTTATCTTTCTGCTTAAGGCTTTGCTGGGGATTGAGCTCAGACCCTTCTCATTGAGCTACATTTCCCGTCTTTTTCTATATTTTAATTTACCCAGGTTGGGCTCATTCTTGGAATCTTTCTGCCTCAGCCTCCTAGGGTACTGGTATTATAGATGTATATTACCATGCCTAACTTTTGTTTTCCTTCAAAAGCGTTTTTTTCTGCTTCATGTAAATACTATAGTGTTCATTAGTGTTCCTTTTACTTTGTATTTTGAGAAGTGTAAATTGTTAAAGTTGGTACTTTTAGAACTTTATGCATTGCCATAGAAAATGTCAGATCTGTTATTTGTATTCTTTGATTTTCTCTAATGCTAAAAACTGTATGGCTTAAGATTTATAACAAAACTAAAGAATTGAATATTTTCATGAAATCTGATAGGAAATAATGTAGGTTTTTACTGTGAAGCTGATAGAAGCTTATTTTGTACACTGTAGTGTTCCCTGGACATTTATGTGCTGTTTCCCTTCCCTTTCTCAAAAAGTTTCGTTACTGGTTAGAGATTTGCTTTTCTATACAAAATAGCTTATGGGACTCAGAGATCTAAGTGGCTGTAATAAAAGTAGCAATTTGTTGTTTATATTCTGTAATATTTATAGTTATGAATAGCTTCGTGATAATGTTCTTAAAAATCTTAGATCTTTAATTTGGAAACCTTAGGTATCATCACAATTCCTTGTCTGGCCTCATAGGAAACATGTTCCTCTTATAGGTCAGTCTTGTTTCATCTTTGGCAGGGTTTTTAAATAAGCAGTGGTTTTCATAGAACCATTTTTAAGGGGTGATTTTCTAAAATATGGCAAAATTTATCTTTTCTCTGAGTGCATTAAGGCACATTGTGCAAAGAAGTAGGAAGAACGGGGGGTTTTGCTCAGAATTTTCTCTGCAGTTTTGCAGTGTGGGAAGCTCTGGCCGACAGAAGGCTGTGGCCAGCACGTGCAGTGGCCCTGCTGCAGGTGTCCACAGTCCTTAGTCAGGAGTTGTTTTCTGGTTGCATGCTGTCAGCTTCACTTTTTTCTGTTTCTTCCACCGGATCTTGAGTACCTTGGGAAACCAAACATCACTATTCTGTTTCATTGTTTGAGTGTTAAACATGTGCCTTGCTTCCGATGAGGCTCATGATTCTGAGCAAAGGATGTGAAATTCTCCTGAATACTTTTTTTTGCTCAGCCTCCTGCCCCCCATTTTCACATGTTACACATGATTGCTTCATAAATTACTTTCTGGAGTAAATGTGGTGTTACGACTATTTGATTCACTCTTTTTTACTGAAAAATATTTAATTAAAGTACTTATGTTGAAAGTTAAGATAACTGTAAAGCTGTACATGCTTATTTTGTATTTATGAATTAAGCTATTTTTAAATCATGAGATTTTTTTCCTCTCCACTTTTAGTTTATTCCCCAGATATGCCTTCACGGCTTCCCATCCAAGACATATTTGCTGGGCTGGTTACAAGTATTGGTACTGCAATACGATACTGGTTTCATTACACACTTGTGGCCTTCGCATGGTTGGGAGTTGTTCCTCTTACAGCATGTGAGTATTCATGTTTTTTTGCAGTTGTTTAAATATTATATATTTATTATAAAAAATATTACTTCAGTTATTTATTATTGTAATGTCACAGGATTTAAAAATGTGCATGTTTAAATTAAAAAAATATTACAATAATTATATTCCTCCTAGTGTCCCTCAGAGTCCCTAGAGTCCCTCCCTCTCATTTCAACACAGTTATGCTCACGTTTGCCACTTTTTCAAGTAGTTCTGTCTTTAGTTGCCATTTCGTGGCTGCCTCAATGTCTGAACTGATTCAAAGCATTTACCTTTCATGATGGTTTTAACTTTGGGGAAGAGCCATAGTTGCACAGTGCCAAGTCTAGTGGATAAGGCGCATGAGGATGCTCTGTAGTGTTTATGAACCTGCCTTTCTGTAGAGTGACAGCCACAGCATTCATTATGTCTTGGTCACATCTCATAAAGACACTCAGGTAAGGGGACTTCCAGAATTGCTTCAGAAAGGGGAAAGAATACAGATAAGTATGGTCAGAGCAACAGGGAAGATGAATGCCAGTGTATCTTTTATATAATTTTTTTAAAAATTTAAGCATTCATATTACATTTTGATTGTACCTCGGATATTGAGAAAGCTTCATTCACGTGAACTAAGAATGACTTTGGAACTCTCATTGTGGTGGAGATTGAAAGTAGGCCCTCATGTATTTAAGCATGTTCTCTCCCACTGAACTGTATCCTGACAAGGTGCTTCTTAATGAATGTGGAAAAGGAAAGAACAGCACACAGAGACTCTGTCTGTCTGTCTGTCTGTCTGTTTGTCTTTTACAATGGTAAACATACACATCTAATGGTTCTGAATAATTGGAAGGCTTAACATTCGGATACGAGAGGTCTTTAGGAGTTGACACACTGACCTACCTTCTTGGGTAATCCTTTGTTCTTTTATTTTTTTTTTTTAATTTTATTTTATTTTTTTTTTTTTAGGCAAATGCGTGATTTACTTTTCATGAGGTAACCCTTTGGTTACGTAGCCATCAATAACAGGACTAATGATTTATATTTTAAAACATAATAGTTAAAGCATTACAATTTCTATGACATTTTACAGTTAATCACCATGTGCTTAATTGCAATCTACTAAGTGCTTTTTACTATGCTATATCCAGGGAGAAAAGAGATGGTCATATGCAAATAAAATAGAAAGTGACATTCAATGAAAAATATATCAAGACACAGTATTACACAATCATGGGGGTAAAATTTTAAATTAATATGTCTCTTGAGTAGATAATAGCTAGTTTTATGATTTCTGAGAGTAAGACTAATAGGTACATGGTTGTTAAGGAAATCATATTGAACAGTATCAATATGCTTGATATTGTACCCTAAAAATGTTTATAATTGATGACTAGTTGAGGGGTCAGATGAATTAGGCACTCAAAATAAGAAATAATCATGATAGCTCCTAATTATGATCCATTCCTGTTGTTCTTTTATTTTTATTAAAGATTTTGAGGAGTAGGGAGTGTATAATTTCAGAGTATATGCTTGGAGCTAAAAACAAGCAAGATTTTAAAATACAATTAATATTCTTGTGACTCCGTAAGTAAATTTTTTTTGATCATCATTTTTAGAATGAAAATCCTGGGAAATACACAAAATAGCAGAATAGTTATTGTTGAGTTAATTAATGAGCTAGAAGATTGGACTTGTCATTGTAGGGCATTATTCAGAGGGAGAAGAGGTTCTAAGAATGAGAAAACCAAATGGAGAGATGGAGACCAAATCCAGTTGTTTCCAAACTGTAGTAAGTAGTTTTTTTTTAAGGGAAGAGAGATAATGGAGGTGAGGAAATGGTGTCTTTTATGTTGAAAGGAAAGCTAATCACAATAAAGGAAAAAAATTCACAAACCTAAACATAATTCCAAGTTTTCCAGAGCTGGGTAGGGTGGAGATAGAGTGGGTAGGGTGATAGAGTTACAGCAACAGTATTCTTCGATTGCCCTACAAAGTACAGAAAATGAGATTTGTTTTAGACTTCAGATGAGCAGTGCTGAAAGTTTGGAGACATTGGAATCTTCCAAGTTTGACTTTTTAAAATAACAGTATTGAGGTTCAAAACCCAAGAGTACTCTAACACTGAGCTATACTCCCAGCCCTGTTTTTCTTTTCTTCTTCTTCTTTTTTTTTTTGTCTTTTTCGTTTTTATCGGTACCAGGGATCGAACTCACGACTGCCTGCTTGCAAGGCAGGTGCTTAATGCCGCTGAGCTAAATCCCCAGCTCCCCCAGCCCTGTTTTTTTAAGAGGTATTTTTTATTTTAGGTAGGTATGTTGGAACATGCTTGTAATCTGAGCACTCAGGAGGCTGAGTCAGAAAGATCATGAATATAAGGGCTACGTAGTAAAATCTTCTCTCAGAAATACCTCCCAGGGCTGAGGATTTAGCTCAGTAGCATAAGCACCTGCCTGGCAAGCCCAAGGTCGTAAGTTCGATCCTCAGTACTGGGAAGGGGGAGGGGACCCAAAAAGACTGTTTAAAATTTTTGAAACAGGTCTCACTAAGTTGCCGAGGATGCCCTTGAACTTGTGATCTTCCTGCTTTAGCCTCCACCAATAGCTAGGATTACAGGTGTGTGCTATCATAACTGATTTTGACAGCAGTTTTGAAACTAATTCCTCTCCTGAAAATTATCCCCAGATGGAAGAATACAATACAGATAACAAAATACCAACATTTGGTTTGTCATAAGTATTTAGAAAGCTCATTACTGTAAACTCTTTATGAAACTGAGAATACATTTTACTAAACAAGCAAGGAGTCAGAAAGGTGTGAAATTCACCTAAACAAGTTATTATGGCTAAGCTCAATGATCATTAACCTACAGTGATAATTAAGAGTTTTTTAGATGATAGGCTGGCACTGAAATTTCATATGAAAATGTTGGGAGAAATTCTGAGATGAGGACAGAAACAAGGGAAAAGTTGCTTGTTTTATTTACATTAGATTTTTAGATGTAGACAAAAAATAGTATCTGCTATGTAAAACAAGTCTAGAGAAAGTATGTAGCTTAAACCCTGTTATGTAATGTTTCTCTGCTATTCTAATGCTTGACGGCATCTGTAAAAGTGTAGTACTTAGAGACGCAGACTTTGAACATTGATGTCCATGCCTTCATGGTTTTATGGCTGCTTTCCTGAGTGACTGAGTTGACAGCGTGGATTGTGACTGTGCCCTCGTGTCCTTTCTGACAGGCCGCATCTACAAGTGCTTGTTTACTGGCTCCGTGAGCTCACTACTGACACTGCCACTGGACATGCTGTCCACGTGAGTATTGAACTGAGTGACGATGGAAATGATGCTTCACCATATTTAGCATTTGGAAGTCCTTCATCTTGTTCCGAGGACAGTCGTTGATGTTTCTTATCCTGACAGTTACAGCTAGGATAGCAGAAGTGGCTAACATATATTAATGATGGTTCTTTTAAAACATACCCACTAAAGGACTATTTTGTAATGGTGGGCTTAGTTGTTAAATAGGCTATCATGAAGTTCAAGGTATGTAATGTTGTGTTGCTATGCTAAGATAAATTTTAAAATATTTTTTAGGTTATAAGAAAACACATGCTAAAAATGTATTGGTGCAGTTTACCACGTTTTGACCTTAAGCATTGTTGCTCGCCCTGATTGGGTGCTCTCCTTTGCCCTGAAGTGATCAGCTGAAAGGCCACCTGCATATGTGCACTGCCTTCATTAGTTGCTCCTAGACAGCAGAGAGGAAACGCTAGAGACCTAGTGAGGATGGTCAGAAAAAATCAGAAACATTTTTTCAGTGTAGTGTTTTTTTCTTTATGGAATACATCTTTTATTTTTTGTGAAAATTTACTTTGAATTTTCTTTGTATCTTAATAGTTATATATTTTGGACCCCGATTTGGGTCCTCTCTAGGCACACCATGTTGATTATCTGTTGTGGCAGAACAGACTCTGAAACTTACTGGCTTCACACAAGCACCATTTTATTTGCTCATTATTCTTGAGCTCTGCAGTTTGAAATGAGCTGTATATCTGGTAAACTTGCCTAGATCACTCATGCATCATTGTGGGGCTTGACCACCTAAGTGGCCCTTGCCTGAGCTGCCTTAGGCCTCCTCCCTCTGCCTCTCGTCTTCCACCAGGCCAATGGGAGCCTTCTACCTGGCGGTCTTAGGGCAGTGTCGTAGAAGAAGGAGAGAAGAAGCTCATGAACTCCATCTCCACTCTGGAAGCTGACAGCCGCTCTGGTCCAGGCAGTATGCAAAACCAGCCCTAGCTGAAGACATAGAAAAAGGACTGTGGAGTTTGTTACCACTGAAAATGTCTAAAATACAGCTAATCGAGCTAATTGTTCTTATTGCTGATGGCAGAGGAGAATAGGGCATGTTTTAGTCCCAACCCGTCAAACTTTTGTTGCCTAGTTAAGATTCCTCTTTCAAATTAAGGACCACACACACTTAGTTTAAGTTTTCAGCTGCTAGTCTGAGATTTTCCAGGTTGACCTTCCTCAGTTTTTCCAAGGGGTAAAAAGGTCATTCCATTACAACGGTGTATTTTCAAAGTCTACCAAGATATCTGAATTACTCTATTCTGAAATCTCAGACATGGGTGGGGAAAGACAAGCCCCTCCTTCACGGCGGGAAAGAACCAAGGGGTTCTCTTACATTGCAGCATCCCATGCATTTTCAGTATGATTGAAAAAGACCATACTTTAACTGCATTGCATTTATGGAGAAACTCATGTACTTTGGGTATATTTGCAGTTAGCATCAAGACTCTGCTTTTTAAGTGAAAGTGTTCTCTAAGTATGTTGTGGAATTGTCTACTCATACACGATAAATATCTTTCAGCCTTCATTTCTTTACGTAGTCATAGGCCCATGTGCCGAGGAGCTTCACACTCTTTCCGATTTGATAATTCTTGATATGCCTGGACTTAGGTGCCAGCTGAGTGCATTTTAGTCTTTAAAAAATTTTTTTCCAAGTATATTTTAAAACTTGTGTGTAAAAAAACCGACAGATTAATTCTTTGGAAACATCCGAGAGATCTACTGACGTAAATTCTGTAAATTGAATGCTTGGCCTCTCTGAGGTATTTGGCTGCTTTTGCGTGCTGCCTTCCTGCTTCCTGACCATATGGAGGGATAGGCTGTGGCGAGGTTGTTCCTAGCTGTGTGGTGCTGATGTTACCTCTGGAGAAGCTGGTTTTCTCCCCGAAATTGTGATGTGTTTTTCTGGCTGTATTTATTAGTGTTCTTGGAGTCCTCATCTGTGTTTTTTGCTTGCTTGTTTGTTTGCTGTTTAAACAGGGAGAACCTGTTGGCGGATTGTTTGCAGGGCTGTTTCGTGGTGACATGCACACTGTGTGCGTTCATCAGCCTGGTGTGGCTGCGAGAGCAGATCGTCCATGGGGGAGCCCCGATCTGGCTAGAGCATGCTGCGCCGCCCTTCAATGCTGCAGGGCACCACCAGAATGAGGTAACAACACCTCTAGCTCTGAAACTCGTTTACTTAGGTAGGGTGTGAAAGTGACATAGACCCTCTAAATCCTGGACACACACTTCATAAATGTTCTTGTGCCCTTTTTTTTGAATTCCCACAGTCATGAGGCTTGAACCCAGCACCTTTCACATCCCTAGCCTACTTTATTTTTTCTTTTGAGACAGAGTCTCCCTAAGTTTCCTAGGCTGATCTCAAATGTGTAGTCTTGCCACCCAATCTGATTTCTGGGTCTTTGAACATTTTAAAGGAAGCTAGTGGAAAGGTTTGGAAGAAGATTAAGACAAATGTGAAAAATCCCAGGCATGCTTTTGTGACTTTGCCTCTTAATTTTCCTGCTGGGTCAGGAACACTGTTAGAGCATATCCTAAAATACTCTTTCATTCTCTTTTTTTTGGGGTGAACTGCTTAACGAGGGCTTGGAGGTGAAGATACAATTTCCCAGTTAAAGTTTTTCATATGCTGTACAACATTTAAGAAGGATAGCTAGTTCTTTATCATGTTGTGTTTCCTGTCAAGAAGAAATACGACCAAAAGTAGAAAAACTGGGTACGAGTCTTCTCAGGGACCTAGCCAAGATCCCTAATTTCCCAAACGAGTGTATGGCGAAGGCTTAAATAAGAGGCAAATGGTATGACCCTCTGCAGAGTTTGAGATTGTGGGCTAAGACAGGGAATGTCTCTGGGTGGCCCTTGTTTATGTAATATTCAAACAAGGAAGAGGTTAGAGTGGAAAATGCAGGAGACCTGAGCAGGACCTTGGGAGGGGTTCAAGGACCCCTCTAAGCAACAGACTATGTGAGTTAGGGAGAACTATCCTGGGAGAAAGTCTCCAGGTGACTCCCACTACAGGTGTGAAATGCCTACAGCCACAGTCTGTGTCCTGTTAATTGGGGCTGGAGCCACCTGTCCTCTGCTGTGGCCTGTCCTGCTTCCTGAGGCATCTTCTTGTTCTCAGTTCAGCTGTGCCTGGGCCATGCCCTGCACGGGTATTCAGCTTCAAAGGCTCCCAACACCAGTCTTGCACAGTTTTCTTTTTTCTGTTTGAGAGATGACTGTCTTAGATGTGAGGAAGTTTGCTAGAAGGTGCTGAGAAAAGAAGCGGATAAAACGATGTTTAGTGTTTTGCTTCCTGAGCAATTATGGTACTAAAAATGCCACAAATTGGGGCTAGGGATTTAGCTCAGCAGCATTAACGCCTATCTTGCAAGCAGGCAGTCATGAGTTCGATCCCTGGTACCGATAAAAAAAAAAAAAATGCCACAAAGTAGTTACTTACTATAATGAAAACTGTTTGTACTTTATAAATTTTATTATGAGTACCTGCCTGGCAAGCGTGAGGTCGTAATTTCAATCCCTGATACCAAAAAAAAAAATTTATTATGAGAAAACTGTCCACAAAGTAATGATAATAACTATTTTTTTGTTTTGTTTTGAGGACTTTCTGCTTTTTTCAGCATGCAGATTGATGTCATCCAAATACATGGTTTCTTTTTCTCTACACAACATTCTGCTTCTCTAAAAAAATGTATATAGATAACAGTCTGTAAAGAAATTGTGCCATTCTCATGTAAGATTAATGTTTTATCATTGAGTCTCATCTGTAATGAGCAGTAATGCAGTCTTGTTTTAAGAGCCTCATTAAATCCACGGTTCTGTGTTTTAACTGTTAATGACAACTGTGTCTGCATTTTGTAGGTAGGAGAATTTAGGAAGAGCCAGAGGAGGGTGCATCTGGGGACTGAGAACAGAAACAAGAAGCCATTTTAAGTGTTTAAATGATATAGCACATTTCTATATATGTATAAGTAATTTTTTCAAAAATGCGTTTTGATCCCATTCCTAGAGTTAGTAAAAACAAGAGCTGTCCTTTTAAAGACAGTTATAGAATGAAGCATTAAAGATAGCCAGATTCGTAAGCCCACTTCCTATAAGGCTTTGTGAAACTAAGTGACACATGGGAAAGGAAACTTTCTCCTTTCCCAAGGTGACCCTGGAAGGTGCTTATTTCTCCATCTTAGTTTGTGTCACTAGTTCTGTTTTCCTAGCAGATAGTGCAGCAAGATAGCTAAGATTGTGGCTTTTCTGTTTCCCGAGGCTCCGGCAGGGGGAAATGGTGCAGAAAATGCTGCGGCTGAGCAGCCTGCCAACCCGCCAGCAGAGAATGTGGTGGTGGGGGAGAACCCAGAAGCACAGGATGACCCGGCGGAGGAGGAGGAAGAGGAGAATGAGGAGGAGGACGAGGCAGGCGTTGAGGATGCCGCGGACGCCAACAATGGGGCCCAGGGTAAAGGCTGCCCCTTCCAGGCCCTGAGACCCTGGGCAGCTGCACTGGAGGGAGTGACGCTCAGATTTTAGGGTTTTAAAGTTCTGTGATCAGTTTTACTTTACTTGGCAGACTGGCATTTATGAATATACCTATGCATATACTTGTTTCCGGAAGGTGGAACATTTTGTATGTTATAGCTCTTTACACCATTTGGTAGAATGGGTGGGAGGAAATTGTTGAAGTTGGAATACAGCCTTTTTTTTTTTTTTAAAGGGAATTTGATACAGATTTACCTTAACTTTTTTCTTTCTTTCTCCATTGAGTTAAACTTCGTGAGTGAAAAGGAATTTTTGAAATATGCCGTGTAGGTGAAGTGCCACCTTACGAAGCCAGTTTTTCGTTTTCTAGCAGTGTAAATTCTGGAATGTGAGGTCAAAGCCACGGTGGGGTCTGCCCGTCAGTGTTTGGTTGCCCACTGCCTTCTCTGCTCTCCCGCATTGCAGTTCATCTGTGAGGAGCTGCCTTGTCCTGGGTCTACATGACTGCTCGTGTCTGCGTGTCTCCCTGACATGCTCAGCATGTCTCTGTGGGCTGAGCACCAGGCCCTGCCCCCGTGGCTTTCTGGGCTGGGGAAGAGGTAGCAAGTCTCCATTCTGGCAGGACGTGCAGCTTGCTCTGAAGATGCTGTGAGGAGAGACAGGATTTTTAATCAGACCTGACGGGAAGCTCAGCACAAGTGGTTTTTGACCTGAGGCCTGCAGGGTGGAAAGAAGCAGGCGGTGTAAGGGGAGTGGCCAAGCCCCTGCTCCCTGCTGGCTGCTGCCACCCTCTGCTCAGATCAGTACTGTCCCTTGCTGTGACTCTGTTCTCTGTCCATTCTTGCATCACATGGTTCATATTACTCTTCTGTGTTTAAAGTTTTCAGTGGTTTTTCTACTACACTAAAATATCAAATGAAATCCAAAGACCTGTTTCTTTACATGATGTGATTATCTTCCACTGTCTAATCACTCAGAATGTTCTCATTCCCTGATTTCTGTCTCTTCAAATTGACCAGACTCATGTGTGACCCAGAGCTATTGAATTTCTCACTTGCACATAACCTTCTTTCTCTTCTAAACACTCACCACAGTTTAGGATCACACTACTTTATGTATTTTGTTTATAGGTATGCACTTACATATAGTATTTATTGCCTAAGAAGCAAAAACTCATTGTAGAAAGGTTAGATGTGGCTTAGCTTCTCAACAGTCTATTAATTAAGGTAGAATGCATCTTCCTGTTATAGTTCAGGTCTGTCAAGTCCATCCTTAATGTGCAATGTCACCTACAGATGACATGAACTGGAACGCTTTGGAGTGGGACCGGGCTGCAGAAGAGCTCACATGGGAGCGGGTGAGTGTCCTACATTCCATGTTAGAGTTGGGCATCTTTAGATACATGTATTACTTTTGTAGTTACATTTGATGAAAATAGCTACCAAAATTTAATTTTTACAGAAAATTAATGCACTGTTTATGACACAGATGGCTATTTTTGTTTCTAACCTTTAATACAAAGCTTGCTTCATTTAAGCAGTGTTTCACTTGAAAATGCTGACTTTGAAAAACTGGGTAATGATTTAACTTTTAAGGAAGTGTTTTCACCTTTCAGTTCACAAAAAAGTACAGTAGTACTGACCTGGTTTTTAAAGAATTAAACCCAAGGTGGAATTCATTACGATTTTATAGTCATGTGACTGACGGTAAAAGGTGACTCCGAGCCAGTCGTGACATAGGCTTGTGCTCCCATCTGAGCAGGCTAAGGCAGGAGAGTCCTGAGCTGAAGGCTAGCCGAGCTTGCTGGACTCAGGAGGATTGATTCCCTTGAGTTCATTCCAGCCTGAGCTACATAGCAGGACCCTGTCTCAAAACACACACACCATGAAACTCCCATAAACAAAGTTATACACTTCAGCAGTGGCAATAGTGGGTTAGAGTTGTGTTAAGATAGCAGAGCGATGGGCTCAGAGTAGTGTAACTCAGTGTTAGAATACTTGCATACCGTCACAAGGCCTTGCATTCAATTCTCAGCAATGGAGATAAAACAAGATACTGAAAGAAAAACCACTTTTTTGTAAGAGTAAAAATTGATGTTGCATCTTGTACTAACGCCTCTTGTTACTTGTTTTTAGATGCTGGGACTTGATGGATCACTAGTTTTTCTTGTAAGTAAACTAATTATTATTTCCAATTCAGCATACCTTTTAAATTAATACTTAGAGAGTACAGTAAAGCATGGGGTGCCAGGCTGTGGCATCACAGGCCACTGGCATCAGCTTCCTGGCAAGCACAGGGCCAGTTGTTAGATTCTAGGAATGCGTGAAGGAGTTTTTGCATACAGCCATTCTAGAAATGGCCATGCTGGGAGTATTGTAAGCACTGTCACCACGGCAGGGCCCCAACCTCCACTTCTTTCTGACAGTTGGAATTTTACCTGCCCACCAGGGTCAGGACTAGAAAAGCCCTATGAGCACCAGGAGCAGTGCCACACCCCTGCCAGACACCATACCAGTCCCCTCCAGGGGCCTTTGGAAAGTGCACAGGGGACATGATTGCAGTTGTCTCACCATGGGGGTCACTACCAGTATTCAGCAAGCCAAGGCTGTGGCTGCTAACCGTGTGGCCCTCTTGCCCACAAGTTCCCGTACCTGAGATGCAGCAGCGCCTGTGCTGAAGCTTAGAGGGTCTTGGCCAAGTGCCTGGCATTGCACGTGAAGCTCAGTCTGATGCACCTCATTAGGGATCAGGCACTGTGCACAAACAGGGCAGCAGTGATGGAGGAGTCCTAGCTCTGCCTTCCTGTGACCTGAAATGACCGCTCTGGGGAGTTGTGTGATGGAGCAGGGAACCAAGGCCACCTGGGCCCTGAGTCCTGTTCCCAGCTACTGCTGGTGGCTGTATTAGATGCCAGAATGAGGGCTTGTCCTGGGGCAGGGAACAGAAGTGAAAGGGTGCAAGCACAGCCTGTGCGCACACATGGGAGGGAAAACTGGTTCTTTTTAATAACAGAACTGGGAAACAGTTTGCTTAGTTACTTAGTAATGTCAGGTTTACAGTGTTTCCTTTTTATACTTAAGGTCAAAATACCCTTGCTTTGAATTACTTCATATTTAAAGGAAATACTGCAAAATATTTTAAAAGGAAATTATTATGAACTACTTGATTTTTTTTTTTTTCTTCTAAGAAAAAGAAGCCCAAAACTAGGCTTAGTGGCTGGCTCATACCTGTAATCTCAGCAGGTAGTAGACTGAGGCAGGAGGATCACTGAGGTCGAGGTCAGCCTAGGCTACATAGTGAAACCTATCTCAAAAAACAAAAAGAGGTGAAGCCCACAGTTAATGGTAATTAAAATAACTTGATCTTTAAAGTTCAGTCTTGCAGTGTTAAAGGCTGTAGCAGGGTAAGCAGGGCAGCTTTGTACATCTCTCAGTAAGAGCCGAAGTCTGACCTTAGGGTTCTGTCTATATCCCACCCCTATAGGGGTGTCAGCAAACGTAAGCAGACTCATGCCTCCTTCCAGCAATACTGCTGCAACCTCATGGTGGTTCAGGGGAATTAACCCCAGCCTGCTAGGTGTCAGATCCATTGTGTTTGTGTTCACCAAAATTAAAGAATGAATTCTAGGAATAATAGAGTTAAGAATAAGAACATTTATTGGGGAAAAGGAGTTCTAAATAGGAGTAACTTCTAAGAAGTGTCCTGAATGGGTTGCTCATAGAGAGAAAATTTTCCCTTTAACTATCTTTAATACCTAAGCTATCCCTAAATAAATTGAATAGTCAGGTTAAGCATGTTGAGTATGAAGTATGTTTTATGTTTTATTAATGATCTTTTAGGAACATGTCTTCTGGGTTGTGTCTCTCAATACACTGTTCATTCTTGTTTTTGGTAAGTGTTTTTATTTTTTATATGTTATGATAGAAGCTCGTGTTTCTAGGGATCTTGTTTTAGGCTTTTGTTCTAAGATAGTCGGGAATATTAAGAAACATACAATGCAGGTTTGTGGGCCACTTCCTAGAGGTTTACTCTGATTTTGGTCTTAATGATTAAGTCACCCCTTTCCCTAATAATTTAATAACTCAATTACTTTTACTATAAAAAGTATAATTCTATTAAGAACAAAATAGAACTTACAAGAAAGATTTGCATAAAACATAAAAATTCTTATTGTGAAAAATTTGAGGGAATTTTTTTGATTATAGTGTCATTTTTACATCTTGCAAAATTGTCAGAATTTATATAAATGATCAGATTTATATTTTAAATTCCTAAGTTTTCCTGTTATATGGCACTTTACAGTTAGTTTATTTGGATAAAGATCCAGATAAGGTCTGCACATCATCATCATTATGTGTTTACTTATTAGTCCACACATTAATTTTATGTTGTCTTAAGTTTGCTTTAATCTGTAATACTCTTCGTTTTGCCCCCATGCCCCACCCATTTTGCCATTGATTAGTTGGTGAGTTCAGGTCATGTGCCCTGCACGTCATGTGGTGGTCTGTGTCTAACCAGCTGCCTCCTGAATGTCTGCAGTCCCCCTTCTTTGTGTCTGAAGGTCATTGTGTTTAAGGGCTCCATTTGATCCCGTTTAGTGTATTTGTGACACGTTCTTCCCTGTCACTGAGGGCACTAACATGACATAAGGGAAAGTGTACAAGGTTGGCTCACCCGTTTTTATCAGTGAACAGCCTGACCCTCCCTGCCCAGGTCTTGTTCTCCTTTTCCCTGGAGAGGGTTATCTGAGGGGAGCTGTTCAGTGCAGTGGCCACTGTTCATCTCTGATGGCTTCATCAGCCCTTAGTGATCCTTGTCCAAGTCCATTACTGGGTGCTGGGAAATTATGAGTGCACATCTTGTCATGTTTTATGTTTATTGACTGGGTTTTTTTAAAAGAAGGATTTATTCTTATCAGTGAGGACTATTCTTTTAACCTGCACTCAGTCTCAGGAGAAGCTCAGTGTTTTCCTTTTGTCAGTTTCACAGTAAGAAATTTATGTTTTTAGTTCTTGCATTAATATGCTAATTGCTTCTAATGTTTTCTGTGACGTTGCTCCCCCCCCCCCGCCCCCCCGTTAATTTGGGCTTTCTATTTTTGAACATAAGGGCTCGTGGGTTTGTATATGTTCTATATGTTTCTAGCAGTTTTCATCATTAGTTTTTTCAGTTGCTCAAATCACCCTCCCACCTTCAGTCTCAATCAGAGTCCAGCACAGGGCGCTGTGCATCTAGGCAGCTGCTGTGCTACAGCCGCTTTCCCCAGTCCTCGCCATTCTTTCTAAGGCCTGTGGCTCTCAGTGATTTTTCTTTTCTTTCTTTCTTTTTTTGACATAGACCTGTTTTGCCTTAATAACTGTTATTCTGCAGTTAGAAAAAATGTCCCAGGTATAGCACATTTTTGACCCAGCTATGAACTCTTCCATTTCTAAAGAAACCCTGGTTCCTTTTAGTGGGAGGTCATATGAGGGATGTTCATCATTTTGATGTGTGGTTTTCATTGAGTTTTTTTCCTCCCTTTTAGCATTTTGTCCTTACCACATTGGTCATTTCTCCCTTGTTGGTTTGGGATTTGAAGAACATGTGAGTATAATACTTTTACAAACTTACTTTCATTAGTTATTTTCAAAGCTGATATTTTTTGAGTAAATCATAATTTCTTAGTCTGCCCTCTACCAAGGAACAGTCAGCAGTGTGATCTTATTTGTTTGTTTCTTCTGAAGCTCACAGTTGATGAAACAAAATAGAACCCCATTGCCAGCTAACAGAGTGTGCTGTGAGGTCCTTGTCGAGCTCTGTTCCCCACTGGCAGGCCTGAGGCAGCCTAAGGAGTTTCCTGCAGGCTGATTTCCCACCTGCTTTGAGAACTTGTGTGTTCCTTGCCCCCTCTTCCTCCAGGTGACCTGAGTGAATGTAGAAAAGGAACAGTATATTGGTGATTTTAAAAGAAGGAATGGACTATCTTGTAGTGATAGCCTTCATGTTTTTAAAAGAACTTGCTTAAATGTTGACATTTTATCATTCTTTTCTAGAAGTAGATGTTTATATGCATTACTTTCTGGGGGCTCTCAAAAGACCTAGTCTTTTCAGGAAGAGCTGCCTGTCTGGAATTTGCTGTTTACTTTGTGTATATGAATCTCAGGAGAGCATGTTCAGAAACTTCCACTATTCACAAAGTCCTTTGATTCTTGCTAGTTGCAACCAAAAGCTTGAAAGGGTTACTTAAATGCTTTGATAAGTAATTCCCACTTGCTATCACAAACTCAGGAATCAAAACAGATGAGGTGGCAGCGTTTGTCTTTTCCAAATTCTTACTCTCTGTAAGTCAGTGGAATGGTACTCCTCATGGGAGGAAGGCGGCAGTTGGCGTCTTCCTGGGTGGGTGGGACTGCGCACCCAGACAGTAGGACTGGCACACAGCCTGGGTTAGGATGCTTCCAATGTTGGCAGATTGCACTCTCCTCACTGTTATTTTGGCTCCTTGGGGAAAGTGTTGGGCTTTAATTTTCCTTTGTTCCTTACTGATAAATGCAGTCTGTGTAGAGGAGAGTCCGGTTGCAGAGGTGTCATCTAGTTTTATATTATGCAGTTTTATATTTCTTGGTTGGTTCAAGTTTAGTCATATAGGTTGCTTACCACAGTCATAAAACAGGGTATATGCCATGTAAAGTAGTTAGTTTTAATTTTGTTATGTTTTATTTTTTAGGTCCAAGCATCTCATTTTGAAGGCCTAATCACAACCATAGTTGGGTATATACTTCTAGCAATAACGCTGATAATTTGTCATGTATCCTTTAATGGATCATCTTGGGTGTATCGCAATATTCATTCCATAGTGTGGTTCTCATACTGACTAAGTTATTTTCTTTTTTCTTGTCCTGTTATACAAAATGTGAAATAAAGTCGTCCAAGAAGTTTAAGTAGTTACCTCTTTAACTGCCTCAAATGTTCACTTTTTCCTTAACTAGCTGTTATAGGGCCTGGCAACTCTTGTTAAATTTCATAGGTCTCGCCGCTTACTGGGAGTCTGCTATATTGTTGTTAAGGTAATTCCTATTATAAGTTAAAACTAGAAACAGTGTCTTCTACATTTGGGTGATATTGATGATCTTTTATTTCACTCAAGGTCTCTTTACTGGTGGTGGTAGAAATTGGAGTATTCCCTCTCATTTGTGGCTGGTGGTTGGATATCTGTTCACTGGTAAGTTGAACTTTCGTTATTCTAACCAACGAAGTAAGATCTTCCATTGAAATGATTTTTTTACTATAAAATAGTATTTGTGAGGTTTTTATTCATCAATTGATTTATCATTTTTGTGTTTGAAGAATTAGATACACCTTTTCGACATAGTTTCTGGTCTTCCGTCATACAGTTCTGTAACCCTGAAATAGCACTGAGAGAATTGCAGACCTAGAGCATCATACCATATGTATGTAACTATTTATTTGTTTCTCAGGAGACGGAAATGTTCATTTGGCGAATAAAAGCAGTTGAGCAGTTGGTGCAGATCTCTCTCACCTGTCTGTCTGGTTTTGGCCTAGGAAATGTTTGATGCTACTCTGAAAGATCGAGAGCTGAGCTTTCAGTCGGCCCCAGGCACCACCATGTTCCTGCACTGGCTGGTGGGGATGGTGTATGTGTTCTACTTCGCCTCCTTCATCCTGCTGCTCAGGGAGGTCAGTTCTGTGGGAATGCTGGCACTGTGCGTGTTGGAAAGGGGCTTCTGTTTGACCCTGCCTCAGAGGCTGGATTGATTTCCTAATTTTTCCATCTTCTTTACTGTTCCAAGAAAGGAATAACTGAGAGAGGAATTTGGATTGCTTTTAATCTGTTTTCAGTTGTTTTATGTCAAAAATTGCCAAGTTAGAAGTTTTAAATATGATTACACTGTTTTGTTTGGTATGTCTCATTCTCATCTACTAACATAAACTCTTGGAATTTTGTGTGAGTGACTGTTTCAAACTTCATTCAAGAAAATGTAATACTGGAAATAAGCCTAAAAGATAACAGTTTTATAAAATTGAACGTGTGAAGTGGTTTCTTAAATGTAGAATTATAGTGAGGGTCTGTATGATTCCAGTTCATTTACCAGAGGGGCATCTTCACTAATCCTGTTTTCAGAATCTGGTCCTCCTGTAATCCCAGTACTCAGGAGGCCGAAGCTGGAGGATCATTGCAAGTTCGAGACCAGCCTGGGCTACAAAGTGAGCTCAAGGCCAGCCTGAACTGCATAGCAAGATCCTGTCTCAAAAAGACAACGAAATAAAAACAAAACAAAATACCCCAAAAACCTGAATCTGGTCCTTATTGACTTAAAAATGAAGCAGATTGTGTGTAATTAATTGATAAGAATGTATCTCAGACTCTGTGCCAGTCTGTGCTGGATGCTGTTAGGTGGTGGAAACGCAGGCACAAGTCCTGTGAAAAAGCTATCAAACCAGTCAGGTTACTCTGCTGAGCCTGGGGATGCACCTGTGAGGGCTGGGGGAGCAGCTCTGGGGCACAGAGCAGGCACAGAATGCTGTTCTCAGGGTGCTTTGCTCTCTGAAAGACTGGAGGAGAGAACAAGGTGGGGCCGAAGCTTTCTGAATCCCATGATGTAGGCTCACATTCTGTCTTTGAAATGAATGGAGATTAAGCAAATTCAGTGATGGGGTTATTAAAAACTCTAGTATGTCAAGTCTAAAATGTTTGCCAGCCTTCTAATTTTTTAATGTGGTGAGCTTAAGTACAGAGCCTTCATACTTGGGAGTGAGGACCTTAGATACATCATACATTGTAACTGCCTCATTTGGAAGATGGAGAGGTAGAGGTTTGGGAGGATGAGATGCTTTTAGGGCCACTCCAAGGGTCTGGACCTGGCAGCGCTGGCATCCAGACTTGCCTGTTGCCTGTTACCCCTCAGCCAGAGATACAGACAGGTGAGAAAATGAAGACGCTGTGAGGCTGCAGAGTTTCTTGGTCAAGATAACTGTCCTGGAGAGGACTGTAAAACTGGAGCCAGGCTTTGCTTTTAGGACATGTAAAGTTGCAACATTATCCTTTCACCAGGAGATAAAACATAGTATCTAGCAATGATTGGATTTTATTTTCATCTCAGATCCAGGTTTTTGACCAGTTGAACTGAGTGTTTTTACCAGTGAATGATTAAAAGCAACAAATACCATCAAAACCAGAATAGTTTTCATAAAGGTTGTGGTTTAGGAATTTCTTTTTCCATGAAAACCACATGAATTTTCTGGAGCTTAATTGAGATGGGAAAATACTTTTTCAGGGGCCTATTTTTCTGTTGTGTTAGCCTATGTACAGAGCCTGAAGACACTGATGGATATTTATAACTTCTAAAAATATTTGCAGGTACTTCGACCTGGTGTCTTATGGTTTCTAAGGAATTTGAATGATCCAGATTTCAACCCAGTGCAGGAAATGATCCACTTGCCCATTTATAGGCATCTCCGGAGATTTATTTTGTCAGTGGTAAGCAGATGATTCCATTGTTTTGAGATTTGTTAACTGGCTTTTAAACTAAACTATTGTAACAGAAGGATCTCACAGTTTTTTCCCTACTGGAGAAAGAACTAATGTGGTTAAATCCAAGTTTTTCCAAAATAAAATCCTAAATACAGTAACTATGATTCATATTAAACTGGATGACATCTTCATGACTCCCGGGAGATTTACTCAGTCGCAGGTAACTCTGCTTTGTGGTTCCTTACAACCTAGGAGAGTTCTTTTGGTCAGGGAACTGCTGTCTTAGGGATGTGATCTTACACAGAGCGCCCCAGGGTGATGTGTAGGGTGCGCGCATGCTTGCCATGGTGAGAGCGGGCTGAGTGCTCAGAGTCTGCCTCCCTGCACGGGTGACACCTCTCACGATGTCACCTCTGACCTCTCACTGCAGATAGTCTTCGGCTCCATTGTCCTCCTGATGCTTTGGCTTCCCATCCGGATCATCAAGAGTCTGCTGCCGCATTTTCTCCCCTACAATGTCATGCTCTATAGGTAAGCCACAAAGCTCAGCTTAATAGTTATCACTGCTAGGGAGCTGTTCAGATTATATTAGACATTTAACGCATTCACTTCCACAGCTGTTAGAATCATCTGACACTTAATGCTTTATCATATTCCAGATCACATAAACTTAATATGTCTTCCAAAGGAAGTCTTTATTTTTCTGTAAAGTAATACTTTGTTCATATTGAAGTGCTTTACTGGTTATTCTAAGAATGTGTTAGGAACATCATCTTTATTTTGAAAAGCACATCATATGAATGAAGCCAAAAGTATATATTTAATTATGGACTAAAATTAGGGTACAGGGCTTACAGATGGAAAAATCTCTTTTTGGTTTAAAATTTTAAGTTACTTGGAAATCTAATCTCAGCTATTCTTACCATATTCTCTTGTTTAGTGATTTGCATTATTCCATAGTCATTATCCGAAATGCAGGCAGATTGAATTGCTTCTTCAAATTTACTTCTTTTAAGCCTTTCATTTTTATTGTACTGTGGATTGAACTTGGGGTTTATGTGTGCTAAGCAGGTGCTTTATCAAGCTGTGTTGCCAGCCTCTATTACATCTTTAATTCTTGTCAGTGCTAATTCCCTTAGATCTTTTACCAATCCCATTTGAGTTACTACCCTCCTGGTTTGGGCCTTCCTTTTTCCTCCCCATTTATAATCCTCAACAAGGCTGCCTTTAGATTTTCTAGAAATGTGATTGTATGATTCCTGTTTAAAAGTTGTCAGTGCTGGACATAGTGGTGCATGCCTGTAATTGCAGCACTCAGAGAGGCTGAGCAGGATTACTGAGAGTTCAAAGCCAGCCTGAACTACATAGTGAGACCCCATCTCAAAAAATAAATTAATTAATTAGATAAAAGTTGTAGCAGCTGGACCTGGTAGGGCCAGACCTCTAGTCCAAGCATTTATGAGATTAAGCTAGGGAGTTGAGACCTGAGTGAGACCTCCCCTCAATAAAAGAAAAACATAATTTGCACAGTCATACCCAGGTCTGGTAACCCCTGGGTCAGCGTCCTCCTGGGCTCCTCTCTAGCATGTTCGCTGGTGTTGTCTGGCTTCAGTTCCCGCTGTGGCCATGGTTCATCACCACCACTACCCTTAAATCTGTCAGCATTGTTTTGCTGCTCTCTTTCCCTGTTTTCAGTGACTTCCTTCTCCATGTTTGCCTGGCAATCCTTTCATAGTGTCTTTCAAAATCCAGATCGCAGTTTTGTTTCCCTAACCAGAACAGATCACCAGGGCTGGGGCCATAGCTCAACAGCACAGCATCCGTGTGGCAAGTGTGAGGTCCTGAGTGTGATTCTCAGAGCCCCCGCAGAGCAGACCGCCACTCTGTCCTTTAGGGTCGTCTCCATTCCGCAGCACGTGGTCCCGGGTGGGAGTGTTCACAGTGCTGCACCTTTACCCAAGGAGCAGCGCAGATGGAGGAGAGAGTGGGGAGCGTTGCACATCCAGGTCGAGGCGGTGGAGCAGAACAGGGTGTCTTGGACGATGCTTAAGGAGGAAGGTTGTGTGGAGAAGGAAAGTTATGTGGCAGCGTATTTCGTGGTGCAGTACACGCAAGCGCGGCAGGAGCCGTAAGGCAGAGTTCAGAGGGAAGTCTTTTTTTTTTCTTTTTTTTTTTTCTTTTTCTTTTTTTTTTTTTTTTTTTCTTCATGTCAGACGGGTAATGTGCCGAGGTCGTAACAAGGTTGAAAGGAGGCACATGTCATGCACAGAGCATGAACACCCAATCATCACGCTTATGAACCTGAGGATCAGAGGGAAGTCTTGTATGACTGTGAGCGAGGATGAGTAGGAGGCATGCCAGACTGAGTTCATTTTGTACTTTGCCCTAATTCTGTGAAGTATGTAATACAGTTATGTGGAAAGCAGGGCTCTCATTTAAATCACGACTCTTTGTCATCATCTCAGTGATGCTCCAGTGAGTGAACTGTCCCTTGAGCTGCTGCTCCTCCAGGTCGTCTTGCCAGCATTACTGGAACAGGGACATACCAGGCAGTGGCTGAAGGGACTCGTGCGTGCGTGGACGGTCACCGCTGGGTACTTGCTGTGAGTATGGACAGCCCACTCCCTGAGCATGTGTCACTTCTGTCCTTTTGTAACCTGTCTGAACAAAGTATGTCGCATGCTTCACTCAGGAAAATTAGTTTCAGCCTGTGATAATTGGGTAATATATGCAAATATATATAATACTTATTTTTAACAATTGTCCATCTTTTATGAAAAATTTAAAATGCATATTTTTACCTTCTTACCAAGATTTGCTGTATCCTAAGCTTTTTTTATGCTATTACACAGGGCAAAAAAAAATGTAGTGCAAAGTAGCTCACCTTTTAAGAGACTAACTGGATGTGGTAGCTAATGCCTATAATCTGAGCACTTGGGAGGCTGAGGCAGGAGAATCACTGTGAGTTTAAGTCCAGCCTGGGTTACATAGTGAATTTAGGGCCAACCTGAACTACAGAGTGAGACCCTGTCTCAAAAAAAAGAAACTAACTTGGAAATGAACTTTTATAGTTGCTGCTTTCTTTCCTGAAGGAATTGGCTAAATGTTGGCTGAAGCAAACATGAGACAGGTTGTTTGTAGGCTATCCTACAGTTTAGCTCACGTTAAGGTTAGAAAGGATTACTTTGACGTAGGTACCAACATTTAGACCAGATTGAGGTAACAGTGCTGTGTGCAGATTCTTCATGGACATCTTCTATGCTTCGTAGTAAATATTAAGAAAATAAAATATTCTGTCATTTTGTTCTGACCTGAAATGAGACTTTTCAGCTTTCCACTGATACGATTTTTGCACAGGGATCTTCATTCCTATTTACTGGGAGACCAGGAAGAAAATGAGAACAGTGCAAATCAACAAGTGAACAATAACCAACATGCTCGAAATAACAACGCTCTTCCCGTGGTGGGGGAAGGCCTGCACGCCGCCCACCAAGCCATCCTCCAGCAGGGAGGGCCTGTCGGCTTTCAGCCTTACCGCCGGCCTTTAAACTTCCCTCTCAGGGTAGGTCCAGTGCAGACTGCACCCAGAGGGCCAGTGTGTTGACAGCACGCTTAGCACTGGTGCTGTGAGATTCCTCTTAGAACGTCAGGGTTACAGTTCTCTTGTCTTAGCCGCACATCCCGTCAGCCTTCTGTTGGCAGTATTTGCTGGCTTCGGTTAATGGCGTTTTGGACAGGTACTGCTAGCGTGTTCTTGCTATCTGCAACTGTATACATTTAAGTTTAATTACAAATAAATAAGTGTGAAATTCTGTTCACACCAGCCGCATGTTAAGTGCCCAACAGCTGCATGTGACCAGTGACCACTGTAGCAGACAGTGTAGAGGTGTATGTTCCTGTCACCACAGAGCATTCGAGGGATGTAAGCACCTTGGTGTGCTAAGAAGGCAAATACTTTGAATTTGTAACATTTTGTTTTTATTAACAGAAAGGAAAATTTAGGAGGGATATGTTTTATTTTTATGCTCTTTGATTACAAAGTGTTTGCTTTTTGAGTTGTGGGTGTATCTGAATATATGAAAACAGGCACTTAATTTACTTTCGGGCTAGGTTATAGGTAATTTTACCAAAATAAAAAGAGTTTTTACTTGCTCAGTGCTGGGGGCCCACAGTCCTGGATACTGGGGAGGCTAAGTCAGAAGAAAGCCTACAGGTCAAGACCAGCATAGACAGAGTAGCAGGACTCTGTCTTTTTAAAAAATTGAAAAACTTCCCCTTTTTATGTGAAGTTCAAAAAACCTGGAAATACAAATTGAGGCGGTCATTGTAGAGGGAGAACTATGTAACTGTGTCGACCCTGCGGAGCTGGTGTCCTGAGATGCACAGAGTGTGCCTGAGCTGTCTCTGTTTGCCTCACAGATTCTGGTGTTGATCCTGCTCATGTGTGTGACGCTGCTCATCGCCAGCCTCATCTGCCTTACCTTACCAGGTAGGAGCTCAGCCTGCTCTGTGGCTGCTATGCCGAGGTGTTTCACACAGATGTGCTTCATTCTTTCCGTTGATAGAAACTTGAGACACTTAACTCTTTCACCTTCCTCAAGTGTGGGGTACTGGCTGATGAGGACTCAATCTTCCTGGACTCATTTCTGCTGAAGCACAAGGGGGCAAGATCAAGATAGCTATGTGTTCATTTTAGAAGAGGGAGTACCTGTGATCACTCAGCTTTCTTGCATATTTAGAGTATGAATTTTCAAACAATCATTTGTGTGACTTAAGTAAATGTTTCAAACAAGTCTCTTAACATCAGTGATGTTGCTTTTCTACCCATTCATACTGTTGATCAAGAGTAAAATGAAGCTAGACTGTTTCCCTTGACTATCTGCTGCTCACGAATCCTCATTTTTTTCTGGCATTGAGTTTGTAAGACATGTCACATGAACAGCATTTCTTCATTTAAGAGATCAGTCAACTTCAGTTGAATATGTGTAGTAACTTGTCATCTTCCCCAGAGGTTAGGGATTAATGACCAGGTCATTAACCAGCTTGCCTGCTGTTATTTACTGTTTATATATAGCCTGCCAGAAAATTCTAAATCATATTGCTAGGTGTTAACTACTTAAGTAATTATTAAGTTAATTTTCAGCTCTGTCAGACCTAGATTCTGAGTTATCTTGGTAATAATACTGATTCAGTATAATTTTATAAATCAGACTTGCATTAAGTTTTTCCCCATGAATTCCAGGGCTGGGAAAGAGCAGATAGGAAAATTAATTTCAAGTTTCTAAACAAAACAAACTTTTTCTAATTTGAAGGAACAGATTTTACCTTTAACTGGTAACCATTTTATTTTACCGTTTTTTGCATAATAATTGTTGACTTCAAGACTTTGCATACAGCTCCCTCCTGCTCAGATCAGAGCTGTGAAGATGGCAAAGCCTGTTAACTGTGTGCGGTTGTGTGAAAGCACAGTGCTGAGAAGACTCAGCATTTGAATGTGGGACAGGGTTTACATTTATGCTTTGATGCTCCATTTTTGTGTTTTTGCCAGGAATAGTTTTAAAAATAAAGAAGGAAATCTAGTTTTCATACTTGAATTTGATTGTGAGAATAATTTAGTTTCATTAACATTGTTAAGTCAACATTTCCTTTTAATCTGATTCTACTGTATAGTAGAAAGAGTAATTTGTCATCATAGAAGTGCTTCCGTTAGCTGATGGCAAACATTAAAGAGTGGTAAGGATACTATTTCCACCCATAGGTTACATTTCTGTAGCAATAAATTAAAAATTGTGTAGTTACTACAAGTTGAATATGAATTCGATCTTCTCAAAACCCATTTTTGGATGAAAAATATATGAAATGTAGAATAGAAAGTGGCTATTAAATTTTGTAATGAATCTCAAATACAAAAAAGACAAACCCTGGTGTAAAAATATATGGAGAGCACTAAACCTTTCTACAGCTTTATCAGTGATTACTTTGATAGCTTCAAATTAATGTGCACATAGGCCTTTTCATGTGGTATTTTACATGCATTTGTCTTTTTATTTATTTACTTTGCAGTGCTGGGGATCAAACCTAAGGCCTTATGTCTGCCAGGCAAGCACTTTCCCACTGAGCTACGCTTCCAGCTTGTATTTGGCTTTAAAGTGTTATTTTTGGCTGAATACATGGCAATGTGCCTCTACTTAGCTCCATAAGAGGCCAAGGCATGTCACAAGTTCAAGACCAGGCTTGGCAACTTAGCAACTTTTTATAACTTAAAGTAAAAAGGCCTGGAAATATAACTCAATGGTAAAGCACTTATCTAACATACCTAAGTCCCTGAGCTCAATTCTCATAACCACAAAGAAAAAAAAAGTTATTTTTACATTCAGTTTCATCAGTTTGCAAGAAATCTGTGGTTTGTAAGGCTTGACTGTGAAGCTAATTGAATTTGACTTGGAGGCAGTGTTACTTGACAGAGAAGAACATGGCCTCTGTGACCCAGACCTGCCTTAAAATGCAGCTGTACTCTGCTTGGAGTTGGGCAGGGTTCTTGTACCAAGCCTAGTTTCTGTCTGTCTGTCTTTTGGAGACAGGGTTTCACCATGCAATTTAGGCTCCTTGAACTTCAATTTGAGCAATCCTTCTGCCTTAGCCTTTCGAGTGCTAGGATTGCAGGCATGTACCACCACATCCAGCTGAACCCGGTTTCTTAATCTTTACAAGGGAGAATGTGTCTACATTGGGTGAGGGCGTTTTGCAGGGAGATGAGATAATGCATGGAAAGCAGTACAGTCACCAGCTTTTTGTGAATATTCAAAAATAATACCACCGGATTGAGAAGGCAATTTTTAGGGGAAAAATATACTAGAAATTTAGATTTTTGTTCTTTCTCACTTTATTAAGAAGTAATCAGGTAAACAGATTACTAAATTAATAAATGTCTTGCCTGAGAGATTATGTGGATACGCTATAGAATTTATTTCTAATATTTCTTAGGTAGTTCTCAATGTGGGTCGTACATTTTAATACATTTAGATGGTGGTAATTTTTTCTTGGTTCTTTTAGCACTCTTTGATTATTGTGATTTAAAATGTACTCATTCTATTAAAGTAAGCTTTAGTTTTCTGTCTTGATGAGTGAGCCATGTGGGAAAAGTATATTAATTGAAATCTTCCTAAATAGTGAAAGGGTTGACAGCACAAATAGTAGAAAAGACATTTCTATCTTAACCACTTTGTGTGCTTTTTTTTTTTGTAATTTAAGTTTGAATTTATGTTTGGAAATAAAAACACAAATTAAAAAAACTTTTACAAAATTCTCACACAAAGACCCATTTTAGGATATCATTACATGCTGCTTTTACTTAGAAAAAGTGAACAGATCCTATCAAAACAAATAGTTGTCAATTGTAAATGTATATTCCTTTCTTTGAGCCATAATTATTTCAATTGCTGATCAAAACAGTGGAAGCACCAGTCCCCTGAAGCCTTCGCAGGCTAGAAAGAACAGGTCGTTGTTGTGACGCCTTGGAGTGTACGTTTCCAGAGGGTTTTCCCTGCTGGATGCTTCCTGTGGAAGCTGTGTACAGTTAATGAAGTAATTGAACACGCTAAAGAATGTGTTCTTTTGGTTTCTTCGGTGCTGCAGGATTGCTCTTGGGACCTCAGGCTATGGTTCTTTCCATCTAGCTGCACAGCTCATCAGCCTTTCTGTTTGCAGTGTTTGCTGGCCGTTGGCTCATGTCCTTTTGGACGGGCACTGCCAAGATCCACGAGCTCTACACAGCTGCCTGTGGTCTCTATGTGTGTTGGCTCACCATCCGGGCTGTGACGGTGCTGGTGGCGTGGATGCCACAGGGGCGCAGAGTGATCTTCCAGAAGGTGAAGGAGTGGGCGCTCATGGTAGGTATCGGCTCCTCTGATTGGAGGAGTAAAAGTTCTTCCCCTCACTCCTGTAGCTTTTTTTTTTTCACTTGTTTGTTACCTCCTTAAGACAGCAGTTTCCAGGAAAGAACATGTAAGTCACTATTTTATGTCTTTTCATTTGTATAATCACCTCTAACTTTATGTCTGAATTTGTATTTTGATTTCACTTGAAGTGTATCTAATACTAGTACTGAAAAAAATATAAAATCTACCTTTTAATATGTTTAAGTTTTGAATTTTAGTTTCTAATTTTTTTTGATGGTACTGGAAGTGGAACCCAGGACTTTGTGCTTACCAGGCAGGCACTTGTGTCATTGAGCTATATCCCCAGCCAAGTTTCTAAGTATTATACTGATATATGGCATACCATTTGATAATTTGATACATGTCTACAGTGTAACAGTGAAATCATGTGCTTCCTTCTATTTGCAGTGATTACTGTTGTGCAGCCATTACTGTTGTGAAATTCATTATCAGTGGAGGGGTGCAGTTTCTGTATATTTAAAATACAGAACCAGCTAATTCTAGCTTTTTGTTTGGTGTTTTTCTATACAATACCAAGTAGCCATGTAAGGAAGCAAGTATTGTTTCATCCACATACATGGGCTCTGGTCGCTTGTTGACATAGCTGTGCTTCTGAGGCCACCCTGAATACAGGGCTCATCTGACTCCAAAGCCTTGTGACAGACTTCACAGTCTCAGTGTGTCAGCTTTTCTTTCTTTTGTCACTTGGCCTGAGTCCTAGAGCTGCACTATCTCGTGCACTAACCACTGGTGCTAAATGGCAGATATAGGAGATCTCTGGCATTATAGTAAGTTTTGTTGGACCAGGCTGTTTCAAAGGCAGAGGATTTGGTTGGATTTATTGATTACTTTAGGATTGCATGGGGGGACTTCCAGGAAGATGGCACAGTAGTAAACAGCAAAGAAAACAACTTCTTTGAGAGTCACCATCCAGATAGATGCAGGAGTATGACGTCGTGAAGAAGACAAGAAGGAAGAGAGAATCTGAAGTCTGAATCCAAGCCCACAGCGAGAGTAAAAAGAAAAAAGGCAGTAGTTGGTGGCACCTGCACCTGGAGCCAGGCTCAATCGTGAGGGGAGCTGCTGGAACCTGGGGACGCGCAGTCATGGTTGCTGGCGACCCCTGCAGAGAGACTTGGCAGTAGAGGGGAACAGCAGACGTGGAGGCCTGTGCTGCTGTCAGTGAGTGCAGAGGATTCGGTTCTCCCGTGGGAGGGAGCACTGGCCAGGACCCATCTAGAGTCGGACCAGATAAGCCTGAAACTAGAACTTCAGCAGATCCTAGCTGGGTGCAAACCCTTGGAAATTGCTTGGATTGCAGTGAGCCCAATGAGTGGTCTTGGGACAGGCTGCTGAGGGTGTCTGCTACTTTGTCATAAAGCAGCTCCTGGCTTGTGGGGATACAGTGGCACGATTTGGGGTGCTGTCTCCTCAGGCTGTCTACTAGTGAATCTAGCTATAGTCCTGGAAGTGAACTGTTTTTGTTTTGTTGTTGTTTTTCTTTTTTTCTTGTTTTAGTCAGCTTGTTTTTTGTTCCTCTTTTATTTATTTATTTATTTTTGAGTGAGTGTGGTTCCTAACCTCCTTGTGGGGGTGGTTTTGTTTTGTTTTACCTTTTATCTCTCCCAGCTCTCTTTTCCTTCAGTCCTCTGCATCAGTTTCCCCAAGTTGGTGGGATCCATCTTTGTCTTCCAACCTACTTCTAATCTCATTCTCTTTTGCCACTTTACTGTTTCCTCTTTAATCTATTTTGAATCTTAACCCTTGTGGGCAGAATTGATATATTACAGTCATATATTGTATATAACTGTTTTTGCATTCCGTTGAAGAGGTAAGAAGACACTTTGCAAGACACAGCTGCAGACACCCAGTTCACCAAAGGTGAACCCAGGAAGCAGTGAGGCTGGAAAATTCAAAAGCCCACTACTTGACTCTCTGAAGTGGTAAACAAAGTACTTGAATGAGGGTCTGGAAAAAATGAAATCAGAATAAACAGATTATCAAAAATATTCCATATTTAGTGATGTTAGAGCAGACACAGAAAAATAGATAAGCTTAAACAAATTATGGAAACACAACATTGGAAACAAGTGGAATCCATAAAGCGGATTCAAGCAGATATCCAAGAGAATAAAAACTCCACTGAAAGTATTGAAGCAGATTAGGCCAGTGTAACGACAGGATCTCAGATATTGAAAACAGAATTGCAGTTACTGACCAGGAGAAAAAAAGAGTTTTCAAAACTAGTAAGGAAACATGAGAAATCAATCCAGCAGCTGCAAGATGGAGTAATTTAAGATTAATTGGAGTTAATGAACAAGCAGGAGATACCACAGACATCATGACAGAAAACTTTCCTGGTAGAGAAAAAGAATTTGATATGCAAATAAGTGAGGCATATAGAACTCCAATTAGCAATGATCCAAGAAAATCCAGGCATACCATAGTCAAGATTCCAGATATTCAACACAAAAATAGAATTTTAAAGGCTGTTAGAGAAAAGAAACGAATCACCTATAAAGGAAAGCCCATCAGAATTATAGCTGACTTCCCAGCACAAACTCAAGTCAAGGAGAGCTTAGAGTGAAGTACTCCCAAGTTCTAAAAGAAAACAACTTTAAACCCAGATTGATGTATCTCACAAAACTACCTTTCAAAGTTGAGGGAGAAGTCAGATACTTCCATGACAAAAACATCTGAGGAAATTTATGACCACCAAACCAGCACTCCATAATTGTCTGAAGGATATTCTAGAAAGAAGTAATAAGACTACACCTCAATGAACCCCAACAGAAGGAATCTACCAGGAAAGATAAACAATTAGAGGGAAGGGGAAAAAGAAAAATGTGAGAGGGAGCCAATAATAGGAAAGTGAAAAGGATAATGACACATTAGTTTTAACCAGTAATGTTAATGGTCTCAGTTCACCAGTCAAAAAACAGATGCAGGATGGATCAAGAAGAAAGATCCAACAATGTACTGTATACAAGAAACACATTTCATCCAAAAATAAATTCATAGACTGAAAGTTAAAGGATGGAAACCAATGTTCCATACAACAGGAATCCAGGAAAAAGCAGGAGTTGCTATTCTATTTGCAGATAAAGTCAATTTCAAGCTTAGACTGATTAAGATAGATAAGGTCACTGCATCCTGGTAAAGGGATCAATCCAAGAGGAAGAGATAACAGTCATAAATATATATGCAACAAATACTTAGTGCATCCAGTTATATATAACAATTACTCATGGACGTGCAAGAACAAATAAGCCTTAATACAATTGTATTGGGAGACCTCAGTATACCACTGTCACAAAATCACAGATCAACTAGACAAAAAAATCAATAACGAAATATTAGAAGTAAACTTTTGAGCAAATGGACTTAGTAGATGTCTATAGAGTGTTCCACCCCAACATCAGAATACATATTCTTCTCAGCTGCACATGGGACTATCCCATGCATAGTACCAGACCACAGTGAAATGAAATTGGAAATGCATGCTAAAGGAAACCACAAGAACTTCATCAGCACATGGAAATTAAATAGCACCTTACTAAATAGTCCATGGGTCACAAATGAAATTAAAGAAGAAATCAGGCAGTTTTTACAGTGGAATGATAATGACAGTACAACATGCTAGAACTTGTGGGACACAATGAAAGTAGTCAAGAGGGACATTTATAGCAGTAAATAGCCATATCAGGAAAACAGAGCACGCACATATAAACAACCTAATGTTGAACCTTAAACTTCTAGGAAAAGAAGAACAGGCTAAACCAAGAGCTTGTATGAAGGAGGAAATTGTAAGGATCAGAACAGAAATTAATGTACTGGAGACTAAAAAATACAAACAATGAATCAAAGAGTTTGGTTCTTTGAAAGATTAAATAAAGTTGACAAACCCTTGGCTAACCTTGTCAAAAAAAGGAAAGCAAAGACTCAAATCTGTGCAATTAGAAATGAAAAGAGTAAATTACAACAGACCCTGTAGAAATCCAGAAAATCATCTACACTTTGAAAACTAGTATTCTAATAAGATTGAAAATACAGACGAAATGGACAGATTCCTAGATACATAAGAATTACCAAAGCTGAATCAAGAAGATATAAAAATCCTAAATAACCCTAAATAATATCAATCAGTGAAATTAAAGACGTAATTAAAAATCTTATCAACAAAGAAAAGCCCAGGCCCTGATAGATTTACTGCTGAAGTCTACTGGAAATTTAGTGAAGACCGAATATCACTACTTCTGAAACTCTTCAGTGAAATTGAAAGAGAAGCAATACTCCCAAATTCATTCCTGGAAGCAAGCATTACTCTGAATCCAAAACCAGACAAGGACCAAACTAAGAAAATTACAGGCCAATCTCCCTAATGAACATTGATGCAAAAGTCCTCAATAAAATACTGGCAAACAGATTGCAGCAAATCATCAGGAAGATTGTACACAATGACCAAGTGGGATTCATCCCAGGGATGCAAGGATGGTTCAACATATGTAAATCCATAAATATATTAACAGAGCCAAGGACAAAAATCATATGATCATTTCAATAGATGTAGAAAAAGCTTTTGACAGAGTCCAGCACCCATTCATGATTAAAAATCCTACAAATTGGAATAGATGGTCTTTATGTCAATCTGATAAAAGCCATCTATGACAAACCAACAGCCAGCATCATTCTAATGGACAAAAACTGAAAACTTTCATTCTAAAATCAGGAACAAGACAAGGATGTCCATTGTCTCCACCACTCTTACTCAACATAATCCTGTAAACTTTAGCTAGAGCAATTAAAAGAGAAAGAAATAAAAGGAACAGAGATAGGAAAGGAAGAATTTAAATTATTATTATTATTTGGAGATGACATGATACTTTACTTAGAAGATTCCACCGAAGACTTCTAGATTTAATAAGCAAATTTAATAATGTATCTGGTTATAAAGTCAACACTCAGAAATCAGTAGCCTTATTGTGTATGAACAACAAACTCACTGAGAGAAAAATCAGGGAAATAATACCTTTTACAGTAGCATCTAAAAATGTGAACTACCTAGGAATCAATCTTAACAAAAAATGTAAAAGACCTCTACAATGAAAGCTGTAAGTACTCTAAAAAAGGAAATTGAAGAGGATATTAGAAAATGGAGAGTAAGTATCCTGTGCTCTTGGGTGGGGAGAAGCAATATAGTGGAAATGGCTGTAGTTCCAAAACTTTTATACAGATTCAATGCAATTCCAATCAAAATTCCAATAGCGGATCTTACAGAATTACAGAAAACAATCCTAAAATTTATCTGGAACCAGAAGAGACCTAGAATAGCGAAGGCAATCCTAGGCAACAAAGACAAGACAAAGGCATCACAGTCCATGACTTGAAATTATACTATAAAGCAACCGTGTTAAAAACAGTGTGGTACTGGCAAAAAAACCTGCCAAAAACCAGACATGAAGATCAATGGAATAGATTAGAAGGTGCGGAAATAACTGTGGACACACTTAGCTACCTTATCTTTGACTAAAGTGCAAAACATATTCACTGGAAGAGAGCCTCTTAAATAAGTGTTGAAAAAACTGACTACACATGGTGAAGAATAAAACTGGACCTGATCTTTCACCATATACTAAGCTAAAATCAGAATGGATTAAAGATCTTAGTATTAAAACAGAAACATTCAATCTGCTGGAAGATACAGTAGATAAAACTCTAGAAGACATTGGTTTAGGCAAAAACTTAATGAATAAGACCCAAGAGAGCACAGGACTTACTGTAAAAAATCAATAACTGGGATCTCATCTTACTGAAAAGCTTTTGCACAGCAAGAGAAACCATCAGCAGAGTGAAGAGACAATCCACTATGTGGGAGAAAATATTTGCCAGCTGTTCCTGAGATAAAGGAGTACTGTAAGAACATACAAAGAACTTAAAAAAAAAAAAAATCGGTTTTCCCAGATTTGAAGACCCAGTCCAAAAATGGGCATCTGAGATGAACACATACTTCTCAGATGAAGAAGTACAAACAGCAAGTAAATACGTTACAAAATGTTCAACATCACTGGTCATTTGACCAGTTATAACAACACTGAGATAGTTATAACAGCACTGAGATTTCACCTCACCCCAGAAAGAATGGCTAGTATTAAGAAATCAACTAATAACAAATGCTGGAGGGGGTGTGGGGAAAAAAGAACCCTTTCCATTGTTGGTGGGACTGAAAACTGGTGCAACCACTGTGGAAATTTGTGGAGATGCCTCAAAACACTAGGATTGGAGGTCCCATTTGACCCACCTCTTCTTCTTCTGGGTATCTTCCCAAAAGAATTAAAAACATCATACCACAGTGATGTATGTGCACCCGGGTTTACAGCAACACAGTCCATAATAGCTAGATCTTCTAAACAAGTTAAATGCCCATCAACTGAGGAATGAATAAAAAAGATGTGGTATTTCTATATAATGGAATACTATTCAGCCATAAAGAATGATAAACAACATTTTTATAGGTAAATGAATGCACCTTGAAAACATACTTTATTATTGAAATAATATTTCAATATGTCACATGTATAAATACCATATTGTTTCATTAGTATGATAAGGAAAACACATGTATTTTGTCCCAGAGAGAATGACTTCAGCCAAGTAACCACTCAGGTCAGACCTGCCTTTGCTTTAACCCACTGTGAGCCATTTTGAGTTGACTTTTGAATGTGGTAAGAAATGATGGGGATTTAGCTCAGTGACATAAGTGCCTGCCTGGCAAGTGCCAGGTCGTGAGTTCAATCCCCGGTACTGTAAAACAAACAAAAAATAAATTATTGATGTCCTATAAGGTTTGGGTTTTTTGCATGTGGATATCCAGTTGTCCCAGTATATTTATTAGGGCACAATCTTTTCTCCACTTAATTGCTTTTGCATCTTTGCCAGAAATCAGTTGTCTGTTACATAGGTATCTATTTTGGGACCTTATATTGGTACTTTGGTGGTTTTTCTATCTCGATAGCAATACTATTTGTTATGATTAGTGTAACTTTGTGATAATTCATGGGATGGGGAGGGTTGGAGCTCTAATTTTGTTCCTCTATCAAAGTTGTTTAAACTATTCTGAGTCTTCTATTTTTACAGAAATTTAAAAATCAAAATGTTAATCTTTATGAAAAATGTTGGCAGTTTGATAAGGAATTGTGTTTTCTGATTTTTATTATTTTCTTACAGTTTTGGTTTTATTCTGTCTTTATTTTTAATTTCTCTTGGAAAGATATGAGGATATTTCATAATTTTCTTTTCTAATAAACATGCTAATAAGTAAATAAATAAGCATTTTACACAAAAAAGAAAAACAAAAGGATTGCGCGGATCCTTCCCTTTCCCACTTAGGAAAGGGAAGAATAGGTCCCCCATGGACCAGTGTGTTATTTAGCCCATCAGTGTTTTTTCTTACAAACAGCAGCCTCATCCTGAGAGTGGTTATGAGGGAAACACTGCCTCCTGCTTAACTAACAGTAAGATACGTTCTCTGTAATCCTTTTTGCAGTGACAGTTCATAGACATTTCAGGTTCTCAGGGTAGTTTAAGGTCTTACAGCTACCTATGTAAGAAGTGTTATTTTACCATGTAACACAAGAAGCTGTAGTGTAGTAAGATGATGTCATGTTGGCAGGCATCAGGTCCAAGTAGAGAAATACACCCAGAGAGAATGAGGAGCTCTCCCTCGCTCCGTGATGACATGTCTCTTGTCTCCTCACAGATCATGAAGACCGTGATTGTGGCGGGGCTGCTGGCGGGCGTCGTCCCGCTCCTGCTGGGGCTCCTCTTCGAGCTCGTGATCGTTGCTCCCCTGCGAGTTCCTTTGGATCAGACGCCTCTTTTCTATCCATGGCAGGTAAGTGCGTGCACCTGCTGCTCATGCTGTTGTATTTTTGGGGGTCAGAAACAAGTCCTTACTATGAGGAATTTTAGTGGTTGATTTAGAAAGACTTCTTAATTTTGTTTAGTTCTAGGAAGACTTGCAAAATTGTTTTAAGTAATGCCCTTCTCAGGTGTAATTAGGCTCGTTGTGGGGCTTTCAGTAAATTCTGCATTGCAGATTAGTCAAACAGCATTAGTAATTTTAAAAGCTATTTTTAAAATACCACAATACCAGTTAAGAAAGGTAGAGGGATTAACAGAGTTAGAAAACCACTACTTTGTAACACCTGAAAAATAATTCCATCAAGGATTGTCAGTGGACTCAAACCCATGAAGTGAAAGCTTGCTGGTACCATTGCTAGGTAATAAGTTATGCACGTAATGACATAGAATAGCCTGAAATTAAGAGAGGGTTTGTCAGTTTGTCTCTGGTGTATATCTGGGGCCTTCCCTGGAGAGGCCTGGGACTGGGAGTGACTTCAGCTGGGTCAGAGTTACTGGGAGATGGCTCCTTTTGGGAGGGTGATGCTGCCGTTAGCACCCAGTGAGGGCTGCTGCTGGAGACCCTAGATGTGCCTGGTCGCCACTCTTGGAACCCCCAGTGGTGGGGCTTCTTACAGTGCCATTGGAGGAAGTGAGCATCTCTACAGACAAGTTAGAACCTGCATTGCCTTGCACGGCCTCACCTTTGGCGCCTGCACCCTCACATTTTCCTCTGCTCTGCTGGATAAAAGCAAGTCACGAGGGTTGACCTGGATTCAAGGGGAAGGGGTCTGTAGCTCCTGCCACCTGACTGGGGAGGAACTTGGAGGCATATTTTGATGCTAATACAGGAGAGAAATGGTTGTTTACCTGGTGGCAAAGTGCTACTTCACAAAGCAGTGTCACGTTCAGAGGGAGTCAGAGCTGTGCAGTGGAGGGCCAGGCTGCTATTGTGCTGACAGTCATCAGCCCTGGCACTGCAGAGGGCAGGAGGAGGAGAACAGAGCCACTCTTGCACTGGGGAGCCATCCTGCCACCGTCAGCTGGAGCTGGGCGATGTTTTCACAGAACCTCAGTGTCACAGGAGGCCACTTTGTATTAGAGGAAGACAAAACAAGACCAGCCTCTGTAATCATAGCTAAGCAGACAGAACAGGAGCTTTTTTTTTTTTTTTTTTTTTTGAGAGGGAAAATTTTTATTAGGTTCAATTTCCAGCTGCAGGGCCGGGTCACGGGACACTCCTGCTGCCTTCCTCGTCATCCTCCACGTCAAGGCCTGGGATGCCATGGATCTGCCGCTGCAGATTCCTACCCAGCAGGGGCACCTTGCCCTCTTCCTCCTCCTCCTCCTTCCTCTCCTTGGGGGGCACAGCAGGGGTGGCTGGGACTTGGGCTTGGGCACTGGGGGCGGTGTGGGGACATCCTTGGTCCCCAGCACCTCACCAAGCACAGCCTTGTCCAGAGTGCTGCCCTCTGCTCCTCATGTTCCTTCTCCTCCTCAGGGCTGTCATTGAAGGGGTTCTCCTTCTTCAGGTATGCTCCAGCTTCTTGCTGATGAGCTTGTTGTTGAGGATGCTGTGCACCACCATGAGCGAGGACTTCTTGGACTGTTCCATCATGAGCTGCGGGCAGAGCAGGCAGGGCTGGAGAAGCCGCTCTTGGGGCTGGGGCCGGGGCCGGGGCTGGGAGCTGGGCTCGGGCCAGCTCACCTTCAGCTCTGCCGCCACATCCAGGCAGGCTCCAGAACACGAGCTTTAACAGAAGCACAAAATGATAAACCTTCCCTTTCCCTAAGCTGCCTGGCTGCTGCTGCATTACTATGAAGTTTACCTTTGTACATTTGATTAACATAATGTTACAGATTATTCTGCTTTCTAAGACAGTATGACATAGAACAAAGTCCTCCTTCTTAAATCCTCCTCTAAATTCTTACTGCAAACAGAGACCTGAGAAACTCTTCCTAACCCTATGTGAGGGAGGGGTCCAAGTTTCCCGAACATGTGTTTTCTTCCTTGCTCCCCAAAGTAACCAGCGCAGCTCGGTCAGTCACCTGTGTCTTTGGTGGTCTTGTTCCTGGGTAAGATTACTTAGGAAGTCATCATTACCCCAGAGAGTCTTTGATGTTATCTTTTAAAAATACTTACATACTTTGACCCAGCAGTTTGACTTTTCACAGTCCCCTACAAAGGGACATAAGTGTACATGCAGGGTGCATAAGTAAGCCTGCTTCTGCTCATGTATTCCTTATGAGGGCAGGAAAATGAGAAGCAGCTCAGATGCGCATCTGTAAACAGTATCTAAATAAGATATGGCACAGCATCCCTTGAAATTCAGAGCAGTTGATAAGAATGCAGAGAGTGGTGAGGGGTTGCTGGGGTGGGGGGGATTGGTTTTTTGAGATAGCCCAGACTGGCCTAAAACTTAGAGTGATTCTCCTGCTTCAGCCTCCCAAATGCTGAGATGACAGGTGTGCGCCCCCTGCCCAGCTATCACACTGTTTTTGAACAGATGGCTCCTACACCTATTTGTGAGGAGGGGAGATTACTAAGTGTAGTGGTTGTGTGTAGCATGGTATACCTCATTTTCTGTATGCACCTTGAAGTTTTGGAAAGAGGAGCCCTTTCTCTAACTCTTAAGTTGCATGCCCAGGTGGCTGCAGACCTGTGGACAGTTTGGTTTATTGGAATTCTAGCTGAAAGGTGCTTTAGACTACCTTGCCTAAGGACTGCTCCCCAGACCTTAAAAAAATTTGAACCTCAAGGGGGAAGGGGAATAGCTCAGCAGCACAATTGCCTGTCTGGCAAGTGGAAAATCATGAGTTCAATCCTTGGTGCCCAAAAATATCCAAACAAACAAGCAAAAAAGTTTGAACCTCAGGCATCTGGGGACTTCTTGGGTAAGCATTAACCTTACTTTGGGGCTGGCTGGACTCCCAGAAGACCAAGGGAAAGCTGAATTGGTGTTTGCAGTCCTTCCATCCTGTGAGCCCCCAAGGGTCCCAAAGAGGCAGAGGCTTTCTCCTTAGTTCTCAGGAGAGGGTTGGCTGGCTTGTCCTTTACGTCTGCCTTCAGACGTAAAGGCAAATCATCTCAGAACTCGAGCTCTTCCAGGTTACAGCAGAAGGTGACAGATGCTTTGACAAAGAACAGCTGAGAGCCTCAGAAAAGCAGATCAGGCAGAGCAAACGGAACACAAGCCTTGATGTAATAGAATGTCTTGAAGAGCTTTGAGAGCTGCAGAAGAGAATGCACTTGGCAGCTGTGTCCAGTGTGTGCGTGTGCCCTCACACCCAGCAGAGCACGCTGTAGAGCTGTGGAGCTCTGATTCCAGGAATTGCAGTGGGTCACTGAGGTCTGGATGGTCAGAGGCCTGGATGGTCAGTGTGGAACAGATTAAACTGAGGGGAAGCTGCGTGTCTTGGTCGCTGGGGTAAAGGTACATCCAGAAATCTGAATCTACCAATCACAGAGGTCCTGAAACAGAAAAGCGTGAAGCAGTATAAAAGCAAAACTGGGAGAAAACCTTAGGGAGGTGAAGGAGGAGCTTATTGTGTAAGTTGGAAAGGTTTGTCCCATTTGGTGAGCTTGAGACTAAAGAGAAAAACACACCTGGGCATATCTTTTAAGATTTCTAGAGAAATCCCATAAGCTTAAAGAAAAGCACACTGCCCTTAGGCATCTTTCCCTGTAGCACTGACCACTGTAAGACAGAGCAAAGTTTATAGGTAGTTGAGATAAAGGACACAGAGACCAGCTTTTTGTACCTAGCCAGAATTCCACTCGCTCTCCAGGCAGGGTGAACGCCGATTTAGAGGGTGTGCCAGCCTTCCCCCACTGTGGGAGGCTCTCAAGACTAGTAAGTGGAACATCGGTCTCCAGCTGACGGACAAGAAGGAGAACAAACAGTATGAGCAGGATCTATATAGAAATGATACAGATTAAAAAGCGCTGTGTATCCTGTGGGGCACTTTGTGCACATGGAGATGGATTCAGGGGGTGGGGGGCACATGTGGCAGATGCTGTTGCTGGAAAGGGTAAGAACTTTAGGTAGCAGTGCCAGAAGACTCCAGCCTTCTCTGTAATCATTTCAGTTTTATGTGAGTAGATGTCACTGTTACATGTGGAAAGTTCAATATGTATGTGGTAGTTTTAAAGGATTAAACCTATCAGTGCTTCCTGTGGGCGGAGGACTTAAAAGTTGGGAGCAGGGACGTCCCCTTCCTGCGTCTGACTTGCACCTAGAGATGAGCTGGTGGAGGCAGGTGGCATAGTGTCAGTGGGAGCTGGAATAGAAGGGACTGGGCCAGGGGCAAGGCCACTGAGAAGAGCTGGGTGTGCAGGGGACTTGGCATGGCCAGCACCTGGAATGCTGGGAGCTGCTTGGTGGAAGAACAGGGCAGATGCTTTCAGTTCGAGCCCCCTATGAGCTCCCAGACAGCTCGCTTAGGCAAATCTTTGCTCCACAGTCTTATTTTGATGTGAATTAGCTCAGTCAGGACCAACAAAGCAGCCCAAGATGAAATAAAATGAGGACATTTATTTTATTTGCTTATATAGGTTTTTGTTAATGATGTAGACTTTTAAAAGATACAGAAATGATTTTTGATAAGAACATTATATTTCTTGGAAGAAGAACATTCCCTGAATTTTCCAGTGTATAGTAGTCTTCTCTAAAGCTGTTAACTACCCTGCAAAATTTGTTTTGAAATGGAGTAATATATATAAGAACACTATACAATCTCTCTGCTAGGTTTATTGTTAAAAACAACAAAAATGTGGTAAATGGTTTTTATTACTCTAGGACTGGGCACTTGGAGTCCTGCATGCCAAAATTATTGCAGCCATAACATTGATGGGCCCTCAGTGGTGGCTGAAAACAGTAATTGAACAGGTAAGCAAGTCAACTTTCAGAGAAAGTTACGTTAGAATTGGTCAGACCATATTAAAACCCATAGTTTTCTGTATATTTTATGCCCTGGTGCAGGAAATTGAAATCAGGGTCTCCTATGTGCTGGGAAAGTGCTCTACCACTGACCTGCATCCCCAGGCCTTGAAAAAAATTTTTTTTAAAATTCGGAGATACTTATTGTTTTCCATGCTGGCTTTGAATTCAGTAATCCTTCTGCCTCAGCCTCTCATGTAGCTGGAATTACCTTTGTCCTCCCTTTAGGCAAGTAGAGGAAGGACAAGGGGCTTTCTTGCATCTGCTGCGTTTCAGTTGTCTTTAGCTCAAAATTCTTAGCCAAGAAGACATTTTTAGGAAGGCATCTTCCGATCTCCCATACTACCTGTGTTCTAACCCACTCGAGGCCTGGAGGTGCCACTTGTAATCCCAGCTCTCCTTTGTAAGCCTGATACTCAAGGCCAAGGCAGGAGGGTTGCAAGTTCAAGGCCAATTTGAGCTACATCCAGGCCAGCCTGGTTTACATGGTGAGACTGTCTCAGCCACTTTTAAGTCTCATCCGAAGCTTAACCAGTAAAACAACCCTGTCCAAGTGGATGCCAAAATGATCATACATGCTTCCTCCAGGCCAGAAGATCAATAGTACTCACTCATGTTTCTGAGCCTGTAGCAGAAGAGAGGTTATGCGGTAAATAAAAGGCAAGAAACAAAGAATAAAATGTGCGTTGTTTGGGAGATAGTCTGGCTGTGCAGCCCCTGAGACTATTACTGTATTTTAGGGCATCATCAGATAATTTGGTCATTGTGCTTAAATTTTTAAAAAGTAGCTTATACTTCTGTCCTTTTACAGGGCACATTGTAGTTCATTTTAGGAGGATTTCTATTTAATGCAGCCAACATAACAGATTTTGTTTATTTAAAGGATGTATTCTAAGGGCACACGCCCCGATGTTGCTCAATGCCAACACGCAGGGCCCTGCGGGTCCACAGCACTAGTGGCTGAGCTCCTTTGGCAGCGGGAGGGATGTTCCCCTTAGCCCAGTGCAGTGGAGCAGTCAGCACTGCGCCTGCGCTGGAGACCTGGTGGCCGCAGAGCCAGGAGCTCTGTGTGATGCCCCCGCTTTGGGCAGTTCTGGGGCATGTGTCAGGACAGAAGGGGAAGGAAACAGGGCAGTGCCCTTCCCTCTGGCCCTGTGTCCAGCAGATGCTATTTCAGGGTCTTCCCACTTTCGTCCAGTAAATTTCTATGTTCAGTACATTTTCTGGATGATAGAAATATTTTAGAAATTCTTGGATTTCTTTATACTCACTGTAGAATTTCATGGTAATTTTAATTTTAATTCTTGTAATTTTATTTATAGAATACCTTTTGCTTTGTTAGAATTTAGTTTTATCAACTTTTCAGAAACATGCTTCCTGTTTTCATGTCACATTCATATGAAATAAGTATAATTTCAAGAAATAACACAAATCATTCTTCCATAGTGTTAGAGCACTTCAGGTTATGCACTGTTAAACTCTGGAAAGTTACCCAGCACTGTGATATCCAGGGCGTGTATGCCTGTGGCGAGGGCGGCCTGCTGTCTTCACGTGGGGTTAAGTGGGAAGTGTTAATAGTAAATATAGGGGCTGGGGATTTAGCTCAGCGGCATAAGTTCCTGCCTTGCAAGCAGGCAGTCGTAAGTTAGATCCCTGGTAGGGGGTGGGGGGGACGACAAAAAAAAAATAATAAATGTATTTCCTCTAAATTTTCAGGTCCAAGGCCTGTGTTTGGACCCCAGAGTTTGCCTTGACTTAGGAAATGTAACCAGTTTTAATCCTTTTAGGCCGATAGATTCAGCTCACTGTGGCTTGACTTCAGTAGAGGCTGCTCTGTTACCTTGTGAGTGAGTTTATGGAGCATCGTTATTCTAATTGGTTTCTTTTAATGTTTAGGTTTATGCAAATGGCATCCGGAACATTGACCTTCACTACATCATCCGGAAGCTGGCAGCTCCAGTGATCTCTGTGCTCCTGCTGTCCCTGTGTGTCCCTTATGTCATTGCTTCCGGTATTGTTCCTCTACTAGGTAGGTCACACTAGTTGAGGGGGCTTTTGGTGTGCTTTGTGTTGCTGTCATGTCTGTGTCACTTCCAGTAGCAAAGGCCATCAGATTCCAGATACTTTATTTATAAATATAAAACAGCTGGGCCTGGTGGCACACGCCTGGAATCCCGACACTTGGGAGGCTGAGGCAGGAGGGTCATCATGAATTTGAGGCCAGCCTGAACTACATAGCAAGACCTTGTCTCAAAAAAAAACCCACACCCCATCTTCTGTTCTTCTAAATTGTTGCCTGAGAAGTGGCATCACTGAAGGGTGATGCAGGTTAGAAGCCTGGAAGGCTTCATTTCCCCTTGTGCTCTCTGTCAGCCACACTTGCTAGGCTCTGGCTCACAGCTGCTTAGGCCTCAGGACTCCGCCCTCCCCCAGTGTGCTGGCCCTGGGCGGCACTGAGGTGTCCCCTCCCGCCTGACGGTTGGCAGCATGCTGTCAGGTTGTCTCGTCACAGCCGGACCGCAGTGCACCTCTCTGTGGAACAGGTTTCCAAGGGTCCTTTCTGGCATCGAAAATGTTAGAGATGAGGACACGGAGTCACAGGGATTGAGAACCCTACTGAAACTCGAGGTTTCTTTGAGTTTTCTTTTTTCATTTAGCTTACGTTTGTGATTCAGAATAATGCCATTCATCTTGGGGAACTGGGACACATAAATATCCTGCCCTAGGGGTTCGTGCCCTCATTTGGAATTGAGCATGGATGCCTTTCAATGGGGCTCCCATGACCTAATTCCCTCTGATGAGGCCCCCACCTTCTGACTGACTGTCTGCCACCTGGCAGGGCCATGCGTGCCCCCCACAGCCAGACCACGACCACAGAACATTTAGCGTTTGCTTTTTGGTTTTACAGGTGTAACTGCCGAAATGCAGAACCTGGTCCACCGGCGGATTTATCCGTTCTTGCTCATGGTTGTGGTATTGATGGGGATCCTGTCCTTCCAGGTTCGCCAGTTTAAGCGCCTTTATGAACATATTAAAAATGACAAGTAAGTCTAGAGTCTCGCTCAATCTGCTTTTGTGGAGTTGTTGCTCTCTCCGTCACAGGCAGGCGCTGGCTCCTACCAGGTGGGCGGCAAGTGGACCACGACAATGGGGTGTGGAGGGGTGCGGGCCGGGACTCCTGAGCAGTGAGGCATGGGTTGGGGAGGACCAGTCCGTGGCTGCTCAGCCTGCTGTCGTGTGTGTGGGTGGGCAGTGTGTTCAGTGGCTGCAGGTGCAGGTCAGACCCAGTCGCAGCAGCTAGCAGCGCGTAGAGCCTGTCCTGAGCCAGGGCGACTGTGTTGCCTTGACACTGCAGAGCTCTGAGGCCAGCATCATGGGCCCCCATGCCATCTGGACTTGGTGGGAGATGGAGCAGGGCCGGGTGAGCCCTTCCTTGATAGGAGCTCAGGAGCTCCTGGTCCCGACAGCGGGCTGTGTCCTCGGCCTGCAAGGAAGGGAACTGTCCTCTCTGCCCTGGGCCACGGTGTCCTTGTAGACAGCGCACCTTCACTGTGATGCCCATTAGGCGGTGAATCACTTTATTTACTGGGGGGACCTGAGGACTGAGCCCGGGGCACACTGACCACAGCCACAGCCCACAAGGTCTGATTCTGAGAGTGAAGCTGAGCACGCCGGAGGCTTCTCCCACAGCTGCATTACCCGGGCACCGGTGCTTGGGATAGGCAGAAGGACATAGTGCTGCAGGGGCAGTCCCTGTCCTGACTGAGCAGGAGGAGTGCAGACAGGACTGGCCCTTGGGAGCCTGCTGCCCGCTGGCTGCTTCCCCAGCCTGCCTTCTTGGCCTGCAGCGCAGGTCCATGCCCAGAGACTGTTGCATTCTTTTGTCCTGAGCTCCTTTCCTGAAGATCTTGTCAGCTCTTGAGCAGTGTTTGTCCCTGTGTTGCGCCCAGTGCTCTGGCGGGGGCACGAAAGGTTCTAGATCAGGAGAGTCAGGCTTGGGTTAGACTCTCACTTCTCTGCCAAGGAATTTTTTTTTTTATTGGTACTGGGGATCGAACTCACGACGATGCGCTTGCAAAACAGGTGCTTATGCCACTGAGCTAAATCCCCAACCCTTTTTTTTTTTTTTGGAATTTTGGTTGTAGGCAAATGAGTATTTCTGTTCTCTGTAAATTTTTTATGGCCTCGGCTTTTCATTGCCACGTTATAATGCACATTCTTGAAGTATCTTACTATGGCTGATGATTACTAATGTGCTGGGTTGCACCGTATGTGATTGTGTCAGTGAGCATCACGGTTTAAAAAGTTGTGAAATCCTGGCTGCTTTGTTAGGAACCCTTAAGGCGAGGTTACTAACTTCGGGAGAAGTGGTAAGATGACAGACCGAGCCACTTTGAGGCCAGGGACCTAGGAGCGTTTTACACACAGTGACACAGGAAGCAGCTGTGCAGAAACTGCCAGATCTCTCCCGAGGCTGCTGCGCACCAGCAGAAAAGCCAGGCACAAGAGGTGGGTGACACTGGCATTGGTGAGAAGGTTCCTCCTTTTCTTGCACTGGCCTTGCAGTGTGGCACTGCACTCCTCCGGGCACTGATGAAGAAACACACTTCTAGCCCCGAACGGTCAGGCCACCTCTTCGTCTCCTGCTGCCACCGTGTGCGCTCAGTTTCCACACGCTGCCTGCAGTGCTCTTCACCCGCCTTCTGATGGTCGTGTTCCAGTTTTTACTCAGACTGTGCCCCGAGCTGTTGTGCACTGTGAAGCGCAGTAGACAAATTCTCTGTGCTCGTTTCCCATCCTGCTCTGAGACCGGAGGGTCTGAGGTGGTGAGGCTGTCCTGGCAGTGTCAGGCAGCTGGTCCCCAGGCCCACCCTGCGCCTTTGTGCCAAGGCACTCCTTTCCGGTGCTAGGCCCCTCTTTCGGTTCCCCAACTCCTGAGAGGTGTAGCGGGAGGAAGATGATGTGACTCGCGTTAGAAGAGCATGGTGCCGTGGGAGGTGTGTTACACACAGCACGGAGCGAGAGTAACCACCTGTGTCTCCCCTAGGTACCTTGTGGGGCAGCGCCTGGTGAACTACGAGCGCAAGTCTGGCAAGCAGGGCACCTCTGCGCCTCCCCCACCGTCGTCCCAAGAGTAAAGCGGTTGTTCTGCTCCTCGGCCTTCCCCTCGCCTTCACGTGTCCTCCTTGTGGACTTCTCGCTTTGGAGAGTTCCCGTGGTCTCTCGGCGTTGTTTTTAAGTTCACCGAACGTGACTTGTACCCTCAGCGCTCAGAGGGCGGCTCGCCAGCTCTGCTGCTGCACCCTGCATCTGCCGACATCACTGCTGTCTGAGATCTGTATATGTGTACATAGAAGCTCCTTGATACCCTAAAACCTTGGATTAAACAGAATGTGCATTGTACATCTTTAAACAAATGTATATTAATTTATTAAATCTAGTTGTCACTTTATTTTGGACCTGCTGTGATCTCGACAGGAATCGTGCCGGAGCAGGAGCGCTCGGGCGAGCCTTCAGCCGTGGGCGCAGGTCCCACTTGCTGCTCCCGCGTGCTCTGTGTGTCTGGGAGCCGCCGCAGGGCAGCAGGCGGCCGCGCAGCGGCTCTGCGCTCAGAACGGGAACCGCGCGCTGCGCTGCCGTCCTCGGAAGTTCTTTTGTATAACACCAAAGCTGTTGTACATTTTCTACTGCCTGATTTTTTTCATGTTGTCTGTGTTTGTAATATTGTATAGTATCTTGTGCTAGGTGAGGAAATTATTTTTAATTTTGATAATTTAATATTCCTACGGATCAGCATTGGGAATCAGGTTTGTGTGCTTGTTAGGGCATGTCTGTACTTAGGGGAAAAGGTCAAAAAAGGGTACAAAGGAGAATTCTCAACAGTCCACGTATCCTCCTTCCATATAGCTCTTACTTTTTGGCCAGAAGTGTCATGCAAGGTCATAAATCTTAAGGAGTAACACCAACACCAGCGCTGCGTCTTACCGGGGCCAGACGTTCCGAGCTGCTCGTCGAGCAGAGTCGGCCGTGCGCGGTGCCGGAGCCTGATGAGGATGCCTGCTCCTGCTGGTCATGTGTTGTTGGGGAGGGAGTAGTGTGCCCGTTTCTCCTGCTTTCATCAGTAAATCTGAATTTCCAGAGCTTTTTGTTGACAGAATAAAACTGCCGAGGAAGCTGGCTGAGCTGGCCTTCTAATGCAGGCCCGTACTGTACCGCAGATGTGCTGTGGAGCATCTCAGAGAGCTGAACACATAGAACTCGGTTTCCCTTGGTACCAGAGCGTCCAGGCCGAGTTCAGAGGAACGAATGGGATGGTTGATTCCGGGACCCAGGTGTTCAGTGCTGGCAGGATATTGTACGGACACTGTTTGCTCTTAGTGGCAGTTTAGGAGTTCTCATAGAAAGTGTAGGTCTTTAGAAACTGTGAAGAGATTTCCATATAGTATTAAAACCCGTAGATTAAAAGCAGAACTTTTAAAAAATATGAACATCAGCCAAACATTAGCTACCAAAATCAAGAGCAACATATTCTAAAGGTTTTATTTCTTAGTAATTTTCCCCCAAGTGGTAAGGATATACTTTAAAACATCAGTATAAAAAATGCTTGAGATAAGGTTCAGTGTTAACACTCTTTGGCACTTTGTAGTAACCCTCTCTCGTCTTGCAAGACTTATATTCAGAAATACAGTACTACTGTAAAAATATGGAGCATTTAAAAGCATAATGCCATCTGTCATAGTATATGGCTACAGAAGCTCTTTTCATGAGGAAAATAATGAATTTTTCATACAAGTTGATCAAAAATTTAAGTTTCTTTTTAATTTTCAGAGAATTTGTAGATTTTTACTTAAAACCATTAGAGTCAGAAGCATAAAGATTGTCAATTCTATGAAATTCTAAATCTTACATTTTGTTTAAAAAAAAAAAAAAAAAAAAAGCGTGTGTGTGTGTGGCCAAAACTTGTCCTTGTTTTCTGTTCCTGGCAGGTAACTTTATACTGTCTTCCTGAGGACCCTTCCCTGCAGGTGTGCGCTGTCCTGTGTTTTCAGTGAGAGAAACCCTTTCTAAGGAGGAGAGCCCTGGCGCTTCTGCTTGGGTGGCATCCAGGCTTTATTATTAACCAGTGGTTATAATTATTTCAGACCTATAGATTATAAAGCGTTAGTTTTGCTGCCCTTCATATAGATTTCCTTTTAAGTCATGGTGTAGTTTTCTTTCATTTTCCATTGAGCTAAAACAGTCTTCAAGGAGAAAGACCTTGTTGCTTTATGTTTACTATTTATAAGTTGAAGACAAATCAGCATTTGAGGTTAGTCTCACGCGGCCAGTTTCCAGTAGTCATAGCATGAGGTGTTCATTTGTTCATTATTAGCAAATTATGTTGGTTTTTGAAATATAAAGTGCTAATATAGCTGAGATGAAAACCGAAGAAAAACAGCAGTGTGGAATTTGTGTGTAGCTAGCCTTTAAAAAGCCATACCTTTTTAGCCAGCCCCTGCTCCCCCTTATTCTCTGGAGAAACAAAGAAGATGGGACATCTCCATTCCAGGTGTAAACAAGCCGTTTTTATTTCCACGTTTAATACAACTCTTGTCACCATGGAAGCTTGTCTCGTGTTTTTTTCTGTCCCTCATACAAATGACAGGGTAAGTTCCCTCAAGTGATTTGACCCTAAATGTGTCATTCTGTGTTAGCATTATGCTATCAAAGCATAACTGAGTTTAGGTTGAATTAATGTAAAAACAAAACAGAAGAGAAACACTGGAAATTTCTACACTGTATTGTGTTTACAAACACACACAGGAGACTAGTGCCAAAGAAGGCTGGCACTTTTTAAAGCCGCTTTGTTTTATTTTCAGAAATGGAAACATTAGGCTATTTGCTCATCCTTTTTTACACTATAAGAGCCAGTGATTCTGTTTAAACCCTCCTTTAGAATATGAAGTCACGCCGGGAGAAGACACGAATGCGCGTTACCACCGCAGTGTTGTGCAAGCCTCACAGTGGCGGGCGGCCGTCTCTCCCAGCCTGTCTCAGCTACCTGCTTAGTCTCCTGTCAGCCAGGTGTCCACGTTCCAGCTTACTGCTGTCTTGGGTCGGGTTTCTAAAAACCATCACGAGTAAGGGCTTCTTCCAAATATCCCTGATGATATCTTGGGCATCAGTATAGCATCAAGATGTGTATTCCTGTCTATTTCGTATGAGTGCCTCATTTTGTAGTCATGAAAGTAATAAAACACCATAGAAGAAAATGTAATAGCTAAGGCCTAGGAATGACTGGTAGAAGCCAAATAGAACACTTAGGCAATTGGGTTGTCGGTTTTTTATTAAAACACCCTAGATACCTAGACCAATTTTATATGTACACATTAAAAATGTTCCCTTTTTATGTGGTCATTTGTTGCCTTCTGAGTTGATAGAACAAAACCGAATAAAGTGGATGTTAGTTGTAGCCTAGTTTGTTTTTTGGTTTGTTCTGTTTTGTGGCAAGTCTGTCTTAAACTTACAGAACTGTTGGTGCACGCCCATAGTCCCAGCTGTGGGGACCCTGGGGCAGCGGGATGCCTCGAGATCAGTAGTTCGAGCTCAGGGTTCGTAAGGCCACACAGGGAGACCCCATCTCCAGAGCAAAGCGAAGGGAGTGTGTTGCCTGTCGGCACACGTGGATGACCCAGCCATTGGGGGTCAGTGCAGCCATGTGGGGACAGCTCCAGGTGCTTAGTATAGCCCCTCCTGTTCTCAGTGCACCTCTGCTGTCTTGGAAGCTCATACACTAAATACTGTTAAAAGGAGAGCACACCTTAGCTGTCGCCCCAACTGTAGGCAGCCCTCACTGGACAGGCCAGAGCCCCTCCCTGTCTCCTCTCCACCAGATCTGAAAGCCAGGGCTTCTTCCCCAGGTTTCTTTCAGATGGGCCTTTGATGAAGCCAGCGTGGCAGCTTCTGCATGGTTGACCACCATGTCTCTCCAAGGAGAGAGAATTGGATGAGGTTTTCCTCCATGTCTCCCAGGGAAGAGATGCTTTCACCTTAGAGATTCATTTTAATTTTTATCCTTGTTTCTAGGTTCAAGCTCCAAGTTTTGAGCATTCCTGCGTGATTCCCCCTTTCCCGACAAGTGCATTTTTATTGTTAACTGCAGGGTGAGGAGGTGATGGGAACAAGAGACACCTTTCATCTGTGCAGGGGAAAGAACAGTTTTGTCAGAGGAAGTTGCCCAGCGAGGCTCAAGGCTGCGCTCCAGTCTGGAGCCATGCATAGCACACAGGAGCCGCTAGCAAGAAAAGGGAGCCAGCAAGAAAAGGACCCGGCAGCACCCTGTGTGCCACTGGGGTTGGCCCCGCTGCTCCCACTGAGGCGCAGGGGAGGGGAACACAGAGGGCGGCTCTCACGTGGAACTGTGAGCCGCGTGCTAGGACGACTGGGAAGGGCTCATTCCCATTCATCCCTGGCTGGCTTCTGCTCAGCTCAGTCTTTCCTGCCGGTGTCTGAGGGCCCGATGGAGTGAAGAGCCTAGAAGCCGATGTTTAGGAAACACGGTGGGATAATTGGACACGATGCAAAGTAAAAAATGGATCTGTACCATGTACAAGAAATAGAGTCGTAAGGTATAGCCCCAAACCGTATCACTTCTAGGGAAAAAAAAGCATTGTCTTGGGTTAGGCAGGGGTTTTTAAGGAGAAAAAAATGGAAAAATTGTACTTGACCATAGTTGGAAGCCTCTTTGAAACAGACCAAGAACAGAAAGGCTGGTGTGGCAAAAAAGTATTGGCCAAGCATTTCCTCAGAAGGACATGCATCTAGAATACAGAAAGCCCAAAACTCAGGGCCACCATCTGTCCATTTTAAAAGTGGACAAAACATTGAAACGCACACTTCAATAAAGAGGATCTGCAGATGGCAAATAAGCATGAGATCCTCAACATGATTTCAAGAAAGTGCAAATTAAAAGCGCTGTGAAGTAGCACCCTGTACCTGTGAGAAGAACGGCTGACGTGAAACACGCTGACCCACCGTGGGGGTGAGGACGGTGTGATGACTGTGGCTCGCTGTGGTGGTTCCCGCACTTTACGCCCCTACTTCCTGTTGAGGGGAGGCACGGGCCCTGCGGCCTGGCCAGTTATGGTCCACATGTCTGCGGGTGTCAAGGTGGCCATAGCTGTGACTCCCCACACAGCGGCTGGAGCTGCACACGCAAGAGGAGCCTACTGTGTGCAACACAGACACATCTCAAGATGGTCAAAGGCCGAACGCGCTGCCTGGCTTCTCTGTAGACTGGTACTGGGAACGAAACTCAGGACCTTGCGCCTGCCAGGCTGGTGCTGTGCTGTTAAGCTGTATCCCCAGCCCCAAAATAGCTCTTTTACAACAGCAGACAGAAACAGAGCCTTCCTTCTGAACTAAGGTGTCATTAGCCTACAGTAAATTGTATGCATTTAAAGTATACACTTCCTCCAGTTTTGACACACTGATACATGTCAGGCCAGAACCACACCGAGGTACCGGGCATATCCGTGGCCGGTTCCTTCACGTCCCCGCCCGCCGACTTTCCCGGAGATTCGTTTTCCCCACTGACTGCTCGGCGTCCCTTTCCTTTCCCTTCAGCAGCTGCCTTCAGAGCGCCTGCTGCCTTCCAGCCCCACCCCCGCCAGGTGACCCTGCCACTACTCCATCAAAATTATCTCGTAAACATCTCAGGTCTCATTTTTCTTGTCTCTTCTGACCCTGCTGATCTCCGCTCTCCATGGGCACTCTTCCTCAGCTGCAGAACACTGCACTCCAAATTTCCTTCCTGCCTGTGTACACTCTGCTGCTTAAACTTTGCTGGCTTCACCTTTTCTTCCAATTGTTACAAACCCCAGGCCTGAGTCTGGGATCCCCGATTGTGTGGGGATCAATCTCAGGGCTGTACAGATCATCTGACACCCACTCCATTTCCTTCCCTCACTCCATACCAATGTGCAGCTGCCTATGTGAACTCTTTCCAGAGATCCCCACTTAGGTGCAAAGCACAGCCTAACTTTACTCCTGTGTGGTGGACCGATATGGCGGTCCACTTGTAACACCAGCTGGTCCGAATCAGCGTGGTGCTGAGCATGTATACCACCTGAGGACTGCTGCCAGCACAGAAAGGGGAAGTGGAGAGGGAGAGAGTAGTGTGCTGTTTGGTGCTGCTGGTTCTCCTGTTGCTGTGGGTTCTCCTGGAGGAGCTTGCTGAGCTCCTTTCCTGATACCAACTGTGCTGTTCTCAGGGAAGCTTGGGGCCTTGTCCCTGAGGATGGCTGCGGTGCTTTTCAGGGGAGCCCTGGCCCTTATTTGGAGCATCACTCCCTGGCTCTGGTGCAGATCCTTCAGCCTCTGACACAGATCCTGCACCATGCTGGCACAGACTTTCTAGCTCCCCCCGCTGACCACGGCTTTCCCCTGCAGATCTGTGAAACACACTTGCAGGAGACATTGACACGGGCTCTAGGTCTTCAGCTGGACTCATGCAGGACAATGCTGTGGGATCCGGGCCCTTGACTGGATTCTCTAGGTCTTTAGGGTGGGGAGATTTCCTGTACTGATTGTATTTAACTCTGGGGGACTATCATAAAATAATACTATAAGTATGTGTCCTGTATGTAACTGTTTTCTGTGCAACTCCTGACTGTAACATCCTGTTACAGTTGATATCCGAGATGCTCCCTGAAGGTCCCATTGCTAGGAAGGCCTGGTCGCCAGCTGATGGGCTTTAGGTGGCTGGATTGTGGTGGCTGGATTGTGAGGGCTTTAACCTCCTCAGCGGGTAACATGCTGGTGCATTTGTAGCTTAGCTGACTGGGTGTTGCCTGTAGGAAGCGGGTCTGGGGTGACCTGGAAGGACATGCTTGCTCCCTGGCCTCTTCCTCTCTGGCGCACTCTCCTTTTGTTTCCTGGTGCCTGAGCAACTTTCTTCTACCACATCCCCCACCTGCTGTTTCTGCTTGAGCAAAGGCCTCAAAGCGGGGGAGCCAGCTTCCCAGGAATTGAACCCTACCCTCTAAACTGAACCTCTAAGGTGTTTCACAGCAGCAGAAAGCTAACTCAATCCCTGATCTGCCATTTCTCAAATTCCCCCCATCTCCAAGGGTAAGGAGTTGGATCTAAAGATTAAAGTTGCTACATCAAAAATGTTGGGAAAAGCCAGGCATGGTGGCATGTACCTATAATCCCAGCACATGGGAGGCTGAGGCAGGAGGACTGCCCCCAGTTCAAGGCTAGACTGAGCTACATAGTGAGTTCAGGGTGACCTGAACTATACAGCAAGACCCTGTTTCAAAAGAACAGAGCAAAAAACAAAATGTTGGAAAGACCTCCGACAGTTTTTCTTGCACACTCCATGTCCAGGATGAATGTCTCTGTTCTCTTCAGAATGAATAGGAACGAGTGGCTTTGCCCACCTTGCTGCCAGCCTCCAGGGTAAGGCCGGTGGCTTCTCTGCCCCTGCCTGCGCCATTGCTGTTTCTCCCAGGCTCCCTGCCTCTGCCCTTGACCTATTTTTTTTCATCCCTTCTCACAATGAACCCAGATGGCTGTCGAGAAGACTGATGCCAGATCATGTCACTCCTACAGTCCAGAGCCTTTTGATGGACCACCACTGTGATGTCAGCGGGATTACTGTCACAATGGCCTTCAACCAGCGAGACCTGACACCGTTGGTTTCCCCTGTGATGCTTATCCCAGTGTTTGCAGCCCTGGGCCTCAGGGCCTTTGCACTTACTGCTCGCTTTGCCTCAAGTTCATTCAGGCTTGCCCCTTCTACTCATTCGTTAACCGAGGCACATGTAAATTTGCAGCTACTGGGTATTCCTGTCTGGTCCTCTACTGCATTTTTCGTACTTTGTAAAATACTGTGTGGTTTACTTATTTATATGTATGCACATTTTTCTCACTTGGAGATTTTATTTGTAAACCAAATTACTACTGTATGCTTAGAATCTAGAATGGTCCCTGGCACATACCTGGTTCTCAGCAAGTGATGCCAACTAAAATGGTTAAAATAAAACTTGAGTCCTCTGTTTTTAAAAAGTTTCAGCCTCCAGTGGCAACTGCATCTCCAGCCCCTGCTCTGCAGACACCCACAGAATCACAATACAGGGGTCACGCTGCACAGGTGATTCATGGTGTGCTTTTCTTCCTCACTTCACACTGCATGCACACTCCACGTGCCCCAGCTGGATTGAGTCCAGGGTCTTCACACCAAGGTACACTTGCAGTCCTTTCCGTTTTGAGACAGGGTCCTGCTAAGTCGCACTGGCTGGGCCCCACCTCCAGATCTTCCATCAGCATGGGGTGTATCAGTGCATAGAAGCTCCCTATTTTTTACCCCGTCTGGAGCTTTGAGGCATAATCTTGCTTGAGATCCTTCTGCCTCAACCTGCTGAGAAGCTCTGATAACAGGTGTGGGCCATCTGGAGTTATTTTGGAGATGAAATTTGGCTGGCTGTGTGGTTCAGGCTGGCCTCCAAGTCGGGTTCAAATAATCCTCTCGCCTCAGTCCCCTCAGTACCGCAACACTCACCTTTACCTAATTCTGAAATCCTGGCTGTGCTGTACTCAATTATGTGCCTAGACTAGCATTTTAGTTTTCTGAAAAAATAGTTAACTCCCTTAATCACATGTGATAGTTACCATTTTGCCCATGTTCTTTATACTTGGGCTAGTGTTTCTGCAGGGTATATTCCTAAGAGACTGCAAGTCTTCGGAGATTTTTGTGGTACGAACAAATGTAGTAATCAACACTGCTGTCTTCAAGGGTAGAAGATTCTTGTCCACACTGTCAACTTTCTTCAGTATGTGTCAGCGGTATTGATTTGAACGTATGTTTGTGTGTGTGTGTGTGTGTGAGTGTGCTCGCGCGCGCGCACACACACACAGACACACACACACACACACACATACACGCTCGTCTGGCCCGTAGGTGTACGGATCACAAGGAAAACTGACAGGGACCAGTCCCCTCGAGGGTGGGCTGGTCACGAGTCCGTCCCGAGCAGTTCACAGGTTTGCTGGCTGCCAACGAGAAGAATAAGAAGCAGCTCCCAGGCTCCCGGCCAGGTGCGGGTACGCGGAACCACAGACCTGGAGCCTCGCGCTGGCTTGGGACACCCCGCCAAATGCGCCGCTGCCTTTCTCAGATGGCCGAGGCGCCTGCCGCTAAGCCTTGGAAGCCGGAGCAAGGGCAGAGGGTCGTGTGGGAGCTCGCCGCTCGCCTTCGGTGTAATCTGTGGAAAGTCGCCTTCCAAGTGAAGAGAGCTGTTCGTGCAGTCGCGGTCTTTGGCGCCAAAGACCTCCGGGCCCAATGCGCATGCGCAAGCCCCGCCTCTGCCCGGCCCAAAGCAAATACGCGTGCGTAATGCGCGGAGCGGGGCCCGCGTGTCTGGTTGCCTGGATACCGCTACGCAACAGTACCTAGCGGGCAGAGCGGCAGCTTCTGCTGAGTCTCTGCCCGGTCAGTTGGCCCTTATTTGCCCGGAGCCAGAGGAGGAGCTGGTAAGGGTCGCCCGCGGAGGGCGGGGAGGGAGGCGGCCCTGTCCGGCCGCTGACGCCGGCATCCGCACACCTGATTCCCCCAGGCCGTCGCGGACCGCCGGAGCTATGCCGCTTCCCGACACCATGTTCTGCGCGCAGCAGATCCACATTCCCCCTGAGCTGCCGGACATCCTGAAGCAGTTCACTAAGGCTGCCATCCGCACGCAGCCCACCGACCTGCTGCAGTGGTCCGCGGGGTAAGCGGACCCAAGGCTTCGCCCTGGCCCCGGCCCATCTCCCTTGTCTGTCTGTCTGTCTGACTGTCTAGTCACCATGGCCATCTCTGATCATGAGGGCAGGAATTGTTGCCTAAATGCTCGTTTACCTACAGGGTGACGGCAGCTCAGTTGTGCAGGCACACTAAGGTTCGCGAAGCAATCGCCTTGGGTAAGAAGTTTGTTAGAGCCGGAACCCCCAGGGCCCTCCTTTGGCGCCCCCCCCCCCCCAGGCGGTGACAGCGGGGGTCACAGCAAGTGGATCTCTGGTTTCTTAGGCAAGCAAGCAAGTTAGCAGACCATAGAACCAACGTAATTAAAAACTTGGCGGAAAAGCTCTTTGCCCCTCTCAAGAGCACACAGACAGAAAGCCCCCTTGGTTAGTGGCCGAGAGTCAGCCCAAGTGTGGCATTAATATTTTTAGCAATCAACACATCGAACTTTGCTGACTTTTTTCCTAAACTGCGTACATAACAGGGTAAATTAGTTCCCTTTGCTGTTATAGCAAATGACCACAAGACTCACAACAGCATTATCTTTACAGTTATGGAGGCGAAGTGTCCAGCATGTTTGATTAGGCTCAGATCAAGGACCCCTCTGGTGGCTTAAGGAGATTCCCCGCCCCCCCCCCCCCCCCCGTGTGCTCCTTGGCTTCTGAAGTTGCATTCTTTGGACTTCTCTGTTCATGGGTGCTTCCGTTCTCTTTCTGCTTCCCTCTTTTGAAGTTTTTGAGACAAGGTCCTGCTCTGTAGTTCAGGCTGCTCTTGAACTCACTAAGTAGTCCAGGCTGGCTTTGAACTTGAGGCAGCCCCCTGCCTCAGCCTCCAGGGAGCTAGGATTATAGGCATTTGCCGCCATGCCCAGTGTTATGCCTACTTCTTCTGAAAACATGTGTGGTTTACATTTAGGAGGTGTCTAGTTCCTGCTAAAATGGATAACCGCTGAGACGCTGTTACCATATACAGTGACACAGGTTCAGAAATGAAGACCGGGATGCTGGAGGCGGGGATCATTTAAAGGAGCAAGGAGGCTCTTTGTTAACCCCGCTGCCTTCCTTCTGTGAGGCCCTATCCTACCTTCAGTTGCCTTTGAAAGCTTCTCTCTAGGTTCTTGCTACAAAAAAAAAAAAAAAAAAAAACAAAGAAAACCCTCTGGCTGTAACCATTATTCAAGTCTAAGGAAAAGATAGTAAAGATTTTTATAAGTTTTTTTTTTTAACCACTGTACAAAAAGAGTCCAAAGATTTAGCTTTCTCTTTCCCTCTTGGATCCTCAAATTATATTTGGTAACACATTAGAGATAATTATCTTAAGCTTCTTTTTAATTTGAAAGGCTTCCTGGAGAATTTTCTGCATGCTCCATGCTGCTCATTTCTCTCAAGAACAGTTTTAGAGTTTGGTAGAAACTCTGGTGTGCGCCAGTCACCAGACATCAGAGGCAAGTTTTCAAAGAACTCCAGGGTGAACCTGCTGAGTGTGTGGACACAGCTTCCTTTTTTCAAGAGTTTTTTCTTTCTTTCTTTTTTAATGGTGGGGGGGGGGGGATTGAACTCATGATTGTGCTCTTGCAAGACAGGCACTTATGCCGCTGAGCTAAATCCCCAGCCCCTCAGCTTCCTGAAGGTGGAGCCTCAGAGAGCGCCTGGGCTTTAGGAAGGCGTTTTAGCAGAGCATGGCTCATGTACACCATGGATAAGGAAGCAACATGGTAACGAGGGACAGGGACACGAAGAAGACAGCCAGCTAAAGACAGGACCAAAGCCAGGATGTAGATGACAGTCGCCCTGCTGCAAATGCCAAGGCAGGCAGCCCTGCTCCTTACAGGCCTGTTCCGAGGAGACCCTCGGGTGGCCCGCGTCACAGTCGTGTCCACTGTCTCCCACACCTGACCACTCCATTGGGCTGTACTTCGAGCTGTCCCTTATTATGTCCTCACCTGCCACCAAATTGGCCAAGGGACAGAGGCAGGGAGTGTAGCATTCATTGGTCTCACTTCTCAAGCTGGCTGTGCCAAGCCATGTGTTTTGCCTCACACTCATAATCCCAGCACCCAGGAGGCAGAGGCTGGGGGACTGCCGTGAGTTCAAAGCCAGCCTGAAATATAAAGCGAAACCCTGTCTCAACAAAAAAAAATAAATAAATAAAGTACCTTTCTTAGCTAAGGCAGGACTGGTGTGTGGCTGGGGGACCAGAGGAAGTGTTAGCCTCTGGGCCTGTACCCACAAGATGCCAGCAGGGCCACCCTCACTCTGACCTGACCACACCTGTCTCCAGAAAGTACCAGTACCTCCAGAACGTGGACCAAAACTGCTGCCTGCGAGAACCCCCGCTCCAGAGCCCTATGGGTCCCATGGGTCGTTTGATCTCTTAGGAAGAGTCACTTCCTGGAGATGCTCATGCTCCCTAGCAACACTACCTAGCAACACGCTCAGCACCATCCCAGCTGGCCCCCTCCCTCCGTGCTGCCTGGGTCTGTGCTTTTCCTCAAATTGTTCGTGAAAGCATGAAAAGGAGCTCAAGTCATCTCACAAGCATGAGAGGCTGAGTTTGAGGAGTGAAAAGACAAAGGGGATGAGGTGACACTGCTGTCTGTCCGTCCGGCACAGCTGTGCCATGTGGGGCTCTGTGACTCGTTTCGCAGGATCCCAGCTGCTCTCGCTTTTCTCTTGCTACCTGTGACCATGGTGGTGACTTAGTGTCACTGTCCTAGCCATGCCGCCCCTTTCTGTGTCAAGGGACTGTCAATGGAGGACCCAGCCGGGCCTGTGGGCTGGTGGGACCGCTCATGCCTCAACACCCCAAATTGTTTTTTTGTGTATCTTTTTGAGACAGGGTCTCGCTATGCACTTCAGGCTGGTCTTGAGCTCACTTTGTAGCCCAGGTTGGTCTCAAACTCACAAAAATCTTCCTGCCTCAGCCTTCCCGGTTCTGGGATGACAGGCATGTACCACCGTGCCCAGATAGCACCCCACATTTTTTCTGTACCCTTCAAGCTAAGCAGTGTCCTGGGAAGGAGCACTTTAGAGGGAAAACACAGGTAAGGTCAGGGAACCAATGGCTGCTGTGCTCCCGGGTCACCTGGAGTAAGGACCAGCAAGGCTGAGGGACGGGAGCGGCACCCACAGTGTCACAAGGAGCAGTGGGTGTTGGGGAGCCCCTTCTCAGCTACTACTGGGCCTTCCCCATCTGGGAGTCCTGAGGAGCGTGCAGACAGACAGCACAACTGAGGCCCTTGGAGATGGCTAAGTCAGCCAGAGGAGACACTGGGAAACGTCACTGGCATGTCCAGGGTTTGGGGACCCACTAGACTTGGGTGCCCTGGTGCTGACTGGCTTCGGGGATGTCTTGTTACCAGGTACTTTTTAGCTTTGTTGCATGGAGATCCGCTTCCTATAAAGGACAGAGTGGAAATGCCCATGGCAACCCAGAAGACAGACACAGGCCTGACCCCAGGGCTCCTGAAAGTCCTGCACAAGCAGGTAGGCGGGGCCCTGCTGTCCTCCTTCCTTCCTTCCTCCTTCCTTCCCTTTTTCTTCCTTTTTTTGGGGAGTGGGTACTGGGAGTCGAACTCAGGACCTTGAGCTTGCCAGGCAGGTGCTTATGCCTCTGAACTATATCCCTGGATCCCCCGCCATTCCTAACCCTATGGGCTGAACCTCGGGTCACCCTGCCAGCCTTGCCTAAGAACCCCAAAGAGCTGTTGATGTGTAGGTTTTAGGAGGTGATGTGTGTGATATTGCACACCTGTAATCCCAGCATTCGGGAGGCTGAGACAGGGCGATTGCTGTGAGGTCAAGGCCAGCCTGGGCTACAAAGTGAGTTCAAGGCCAACCTGAACCATATGGTGAAACCCTGCCTCAAAAAAGACCAGTGTGTCTGTCTGGAGATGTGGCTCTGTGGTAGAATTCCCCTGGTTGTGTTCCCTACTAACACACACACACACACACACACACACACACACGAGGTATAATTTCTTTTAAATACAAAATAAAGATGAGGCAGATTCTGCTGAACTAAAAAACATAAAGCAAAAATCACCACAGAAAATTCTAAAACTCAAGTGCCTGCAGTCAGGATCGCCTCTGCTTCCCGGCAGTACAGGAAGCAGTCAGGTGAACAGGGCAGGGCTGGGGACAGACTTCTCGGGTTGCTCTGTGATTCCCTGCGCGCTGCTGGCCTGTCACCGCTGACTGCTCGCTGACCGTCTGCCCCAGCTGCTGGAAACAGTTTAAGGACTGTGCTGGCACTCAGGATATTTCTGCTGGGTCCCAATTCCCATGCTTAGAGGGCTGAATTTTCATTTCTGGTCATTTACTTTTGTGGTCCTGGGGCTCAAGCCTTGGCCTCTTCCCTGAGCGACAACCCCAGCTCAGTTTTTACAAATTTTTATTTTGTGATTGCTAAGTCACTCAGTTGCCTAAGCTGGGCGCAAACATGTGACCCTCCTGACTCAGATTCCCAGAATGGTGGGATTACAGGTGGGTACCCTCAGCCACTGCTGGTCCTGCATTTTAAAATGCTTTTACTTCCTGAAGCGTGTGTGTGTGTGTGTGTGTGTGTGTGTGTGTGTGTGTGTGTGTGTGTGAGAGAGAGAGAGAGAGAGAGAGAGAGGGAGAGAGATTTCAGACAGCAGAGGATCCCGTACTCACCATCTGCCCGTTTTGGGGGTTGTGATTTCCCGTCCTCTGTCCCCTGATGGCTGCCCCGCCCTGGGCTGACGTGCTGGTGGCCCTGCCCTCTACCCCAGTCCTATGCCCAGGGGAGGTGTCTTAGGTCCCCACTCCCTTGCTGTGTCCCCACAGTGCAGCCATAAGCCCTATGTGGCCCTGACCGACCTGGAGCAGAAGTGGCGGACGCTGTGCCTGCCTGTGCAGAGGCTGTGGGCGCTGCTGCAGTTGGACCCCTTCGAGGACCAGATCGAGTGGCTCAAGTTCCTGGCCCTGGGCTGCAGCACGCTGGGTGGGGTACGTACCCTGAGGTGGCATCTTCCTGGCGCATGCAGCCCCACATCTGGCTGAGAGAGACACAGGGGCAGAGCATGTCACTTAATGGGTGTGGTGGTGAATGTACGCAATCCCGGCATGCAGGAAGCTGAGGCAGGAGGATCACACCATTCAAGGCCAGCCTGGGCTACAGTGTGAGTTCAAGGCCAGCCTGCACTGCACAGTGTGCTCAAAAACAAAACAAAACAAAAAAACCAAAACCAAGCAAAAAAGACAAACACATTGAGTAATTCTGACTTAGAAAAAATGTTTTTCCCGCAGAGGCCATGATATGTTCCAGTTTATAGTTATTTTTAAATGAATTATGAACACCTCGATGTCACTGGAATGGTTTCATTTAAAAGACCTTAGCTGGAGAGCCAGGTATTTAGTTCAGCAGCATAAGCACCTGCCTGGCAAGCACAAGGTCCTGAGTTTGATTCCCAGTACCAAAAAAGGAAGATTGTAGCTATAGATAAAACATAGGGGTACAGTTAACATGTAGCTAGGATTTAAGAGAATGCAGCAATGGTGTTTTTATTAAACTACATCTTTTTTGTATCAGGACTTGAACTCACAACCATGCAATTGCCAGGCAGGCACTTGTACCACTGAGCTATATTCTCAGCCAAACTGCATAATTTTGTAAAGCAATAATATCTATTTTCTTTGCTTGTGGAAAAATGTGTGAAATTATTTTATACTTCAGTTACAGTCAACTTTTCTTTTTCTTTTTTAATGCTAGGGATTGAACTCAGGGCCTTCACACTGAGCTGCATCCCAGCCCTTTATCTTTTTTCTTAAATTTGAAATTTAAATTTAAATTTAAATAAAATGAAATTTTTCTTTAAATTTCTTAAGTTGCTAAGCTGCCCGGGCTGGACTCAAACTCACTACCCTCCCGCCTAACAGATACCACATAGGATTAATAGCTGACAGACAGTGCAACTGAGGCATGCAGTGTGGGCAGCCCTCTGTGTGGAGGTGACAGTCCCTGAGCCCGGAGGTCAGGGCGAGGCCAGGCTACCCGCTGGCAGGGGCGGGTGTGGTCCAACAGACATCTCCAGGTGTCCAGAGTCCTTCCGGTCCGGTCAGTGTTGCCCTGGGCTGGGGAAGTTGGGAGGAGGGCATCTGGCATTGCACTACAGAGAGAGGGTTCTAGCTGGTGACGGTGGTGCACGCAGAGAGGAGGCTGAGGCAGGAGGATGGACAGGCCTGGACCCCGGGCGACTTCCTGAGACTTCATTTCAAACTGGAAAATAAGAAGAGCAAAAGCCCTGGGGACGTCGCTCTGTGCAGAGACGCTGGGTCCAATCTCCAGGAACAGAAACAACAAACAAAGGAAAGACAGACACAAAACAGAAAAGAGTTCCGGTCCTCTGCCCCGCACAGAAGAACGGTCTCATTTTCCGAATTCTGAATTCGTGGGCTGCCTCTCGGCTTGCTCTCTCGCCCACACGGAAGGTGCTTTAATTTTAATGTCTATGGATTTATCTTCCTTTGAGGCAGAGTCTTGCTGTGCAGCTCAGGCTGCCCTAAACTCACTTTGTAGCCCAGGCTGACCTCGAACTCACTGCAGTTGTCCCGTCTCAACCTCCTGAGTGCTGGGACTACAGGCATGTGCTACCGCGCCTGGCTTAACTCAATTTTAATTTTTTTTCAATTTTAATTTTTAAAAAGTAAAACTGATACAACCACCACCCCTGAACCCGTCCCACCTGGTCACTAACAGTACCTTCACCCCAGTCTTGTGCTGCCTGCCCGAGTGACAGTCCCGGACTCCGTCCCCCCACTCCCCCGCCGTTGCCTTGGCTCTAGGCAGGTGCTTTCCAGTGCACTGTAAACACAGGGCTCTGTGTGTGTGTGTGTGTATGTGTGTGTGTGTGTGTGTGTGTGTGTGTGTGTGTGCATGGCACCCCCACAACCGCCGGGCTGGCTGAGCTGAACCTGGACATCCGTGGATCAAGCGTCCTCAGCAGCCGGGGCCCCTGGCTGTCACAGAGGGCGACTCTGCTGCTCGGCTGGAAAGGACGCGGAGGACGCCTTTCTCGGGGTCTGTAGGAGCCCCGCGAGGTCCCAGTGGGAGCAGCTCAAGCCGGGTGTGCGCTGAGCGCCCCTCGCTGCTTCTGCCTGTGCACTCAGGTGCGGAGTCTGACCACAGCGGTGACGGGAGCAGGCGAGCAGTTCCGAGCTCTGAATCCAGCTTTGGAATTGACCTTCCCGGTCGTGAGAAGGAAGCCCGAGGTTTCAAACCAACCTGTTGTGGAAACCGAGGTCCCTGATCCATACACTAGACACTAGATGGCGACCTTCTGTTAAAGATGGAGCCTCACCTAACTGCAGTAGGTGTGGTGGCATCATTGTAGCATTTGGGAGGCTGAGGCAGGAGGATCACTGTGAGGTCAAGGTCAGCCTGAACTGCAAATCAAAACCCTGTCTCCAAAAGACAGCAAGTAAGTAAATAAATAAATGGCTGATCCACAGACTGGGCGTGGTGGCCCACACCTTTCGTCCCAGCACTCAGGAGGCTGAGGCAGGTGAATCGCTGTGTTCAAATTTGAGCTACATAGTGAGTTCAAGGCCAGCCTGGACCATATTGGGAAACCTGTGTGAGAACAGATATCTCTGGAGCACTCAGCTTGGCTTCCAGCCTGGTGATGCCTTGATGTGGCTGCGTGTTAAAGGCTTCAGGTCGAGGGCGGCGGGATGAGCCGTGGTCTGACCTTAACACTGGAACAAAGTGGTTCTCATTCAGCCTTTGGGACTTAACAAGTGTGGAGGGCTCCACATGTGATCCCAGCACGCAAAGAGGCTGAGGCAGGAGGATCGCCACAAGTTTGAGGCCAGCCTGGGCCACATAGCAAGCCACCATCCATGTGCAGCAAACCCCAAACCAAAGTGGTTGGTTGCTCCACCTTCCGTCTCCATCGTTATGCTCAGGTGCCTTGAGGGGAGCCCCTTCCAGGGGTTCACGCTTGGACTTGGAACCTCCCAAACCTCCTTTCTTCCTAAATTCCTCACCTCGGGCATTTGGCAGTTGTCATGGAACCCAGCTGCCACAGGACCTAGGTGGAGAGGGCTGTGAGCGCGTGATGGGGCACCGTCCCCACACTCTCGGGATGACCTCCTGTGATGTCGAAGCACCGAGCCTGGCTCCAGGCGTCACCTCCAGCGTGGTGTCCTGGGCCCCAGGCGCTCTGTGAACAGCCAACCGTGTCTGTGACGGCTCCCCAGGTGGCCAACGACGGACGCCCGGCCTCCTCCCCAGTGCTGGGCTCACACGGCCGGATGGTGGCGTGACTTCCATCCTCACCCACCCGGCACCTTAGGGACTGTGCAGTGGAGCGGTGGCCCCGAATCTCTTTGTCCCCAAGCACGCAGATGTTTCTGTGAGATAAGAACAGAGTGAAGAAACTGCGGGCCGGAGAACCAAGAGCTAGCCGCACTGGAAACCGCACCAAGCTTTATTCATCCTGGGAGCGGCCAGCGCAGGTCACCACAGGAAATGGAAGGTGCGGCTGAAAATGTCGGCAGTGTTGGAATTTTAACAATGAAAGCGGATTTATGAAACGCTCCAGGTCCCCTCCTGGCCCTGGACACGTGTCCCCATGGTCCCAGCCACCACCTGCCCAGCACCGGTGTCGTCCTCTCCTGAGTATCTGAGCTGTGCTGTCCCCACGGCCTTGCTGTCCTGCATGCACCGGACTGCGTCTCCCCGTCTCAGGAAGAGCGGGTGACGGGCTGGACGGGGCCTGCCGTTGTCCTGCCTCCCTCCTGAGCTGGTCCCAAGCTCTTGGCTGCAGTGCTCGGAACTCCTGGGCGTGGGTCACGTGGTTTCTGCTCTCGAGGGTGGCCCAGTGACTGAGCCCAGCCACACCTTCCCTCGCTCCCTGCACTGATGGACTCAGGGCCAGGACTCGGCTGTGGGTGTGACACGGGAGGTACACAGCCCCAGGTTGGGACCCCGAGCTGCAGCTGATGTTCTCAATCTCCTGTCTCAGAGGCTCTGAGACCAGTGTCACTGTAGGCCGTGAGGTCATCCCCAGCCCGAGAAGCACTGTTCCCTGGGAGAATGCAGCCCCAGCGGCTCTGAGCCGCTCCTGGTTTTTGCAGCTTTGGCCGCCAGGTGGCGGTCACGCATCGGCCTTGGGTTGTGCCCTGGTCTGCAACTCCCTGCCACTGCCACGCAGTGGCCTTTCAGGGTCCTCAGCATGGGCTCCGAGGACTCCAAAGCAGCCAGGAGCGGCCAGCAGGGTCCCCGGTGAGCCCTGAGTGGCCCGCCCTGTGCTGACCTGGCCCTGCTAAGATCAGAGGCCTGTGCCACTGTGCCCAGCTTACACAGTGGCTCCATTCCCTGGGGGCTTCGTGTCCTCAGGGCTCAGAAGCAGGCACCTCCCACCCAGGTCTCCAGGTCCCTGGGAACAGCTGGGTGTTGGGTGGGAAGGCACCCAAGGAGGGGTTCTGTCGGTGGCCTGGCGGAGTGGGAACCTCGGCCTAAGCCCTTGTTGTGAGCCCGGTCAGCCAGGAAACTCCAGGCAGAGCTCAAGGCCAGGGGCCGCCTTCGCAGGGGCTGCCAAGCGGCCTAGGCAGGAACTCGGGTGGAGATGTGGCCTGGGGCCTCAGCAGACCTCTGTGGAGGATGGTGTTTTGACTTTCTGAGCTGGGGATGGGACTCACGGGGCTGTGCTGAGCCACGTCCGCAGCCCCCTGCTCTACATGTTTGATTACAGTTCCCGGAAATTCACTTTGGACAGGGGCCAGCAGCTCACGAAGGCCCAGGCTGGGCTCACGGTGGAGCCTCTCCTGTCTCAGCCCCTCACAGACTGCTGGGGTCACAGCGTGTGCCGCCACACCCAGCTTTTCCTCCTCCTCTTTGAGACACTTCTTGCTTTTCAGTGAGGATCAGCTGGGGGAGTTGGAGCTGAGAGCCTGAGAGCTCGTGAGGAACACGGTGGCTCCCGGCTGTTCCTGTGGGGACTGAGGGTGGGTGGGTGCCCTGGACCAGCTGCAGGGGGCCCTGTGAGAGGGATGGAGGTGGGGGCTGGTATTGGCAGTGGCAGGACCTCCCACACCTACCCTCCCTCTGCAGGTGGCACCCCTGAGAGTAATAGTGTCTCCCAGTCCCTCCAGCATCCCCAGGCATCTCTGAGCCTGACAGGCATGGGCTTAAGAAGATCACTGAGTAGCTAAACAAAATGGGGTTCTGGTATTTACACACTGGAGTACTACTCTGCCAGAAAGAAGGAGAAACTGGAGTCATTTGTAGAAAAATGGATGCAACCGTTGATTGCAATAAACCTGGCACAAAAGGCAGTTAAATGTCATGTGGTTTCTCTTACATGAAAAACCCAGGGTAGAAATAAAAAAAAGAGAACAGGAACAGGCAGGTGCATCTTTTGCAGAAGGGAAGGCGACTGATAGCTAGGGCGAGCCGGCAAGGGGGGTGGGGCGGAAAAAGAGTGTGTTGTGCGCCGGAGCCTGCTCCAGGGCCTGGCTGTCTTTACACACTGGACTAACCTGCTAGGAGGTTAGTCAGCTCAAACAGCTCAAGAAGATAAAAAGCACAGAAATTTAAAAAATGAACCAGGTGTGGTGGCACAGCCTGTAATCCCAGCACTCGAGAGGCTGAGGCAGGAGGATCATTGCGAGTTTGAGACCAACCTGGGCCACAAAGTGAGCTCAAGGCCCGTCTGAACTGCATGGGAGACCCTGTCTCAAAAGACAAAAACCATAAACAAGAAACTCCCAAAGCCAATCAAATTTACAAATGAGAGGCCATCCTCAGCGGTCCAGCACTGCAAGGTCCCCGTTTGGTCCCACACCCTGGTCCCTGTTGCTGAGGCCAGCTGCTTATGGCGGTCACGGCCCGGTCAGGCCTTTCCGTGTCCCTGGCGGCCGTGTCCTCCCCTCGGGTGGCCCCAGGAGTGACCGCTGCCTCCCTGCGTTCCAGTCCCTGAACAAGGCCATGAAGCACTTCTGCGAGATCCTCACCACCGACCCCGAGGGCGGCCCAGCCCGCATCCCCTTCGACACCTTCTGCTACGCCTACCGCTACCTGTCCCGGCTGGACTCGGACGTCTCGGAGCTGGACACGGAGTCGTACCTCGCCTCCCTGAAGGACAGAGTGTGAGTGGGGCTGGGCCACGGGCGTCTCGGGCTCCGCACGCGCATCCTGAACTGGGCTCGGTTCTTTCTTGCACTGGAGCGGGTGCTTCCCAGGGACACCAGAATGCGGCAGTGCCTGACCGCTGGGCCTCAGGCAGGGCCAGCTGCAGAGAGCCGGGCGGCCTGTTGACTTAACACAGCTCTCGGTTTGCTGAGTGTTCAGGTGCCGTCTTCTCCCGGGGCTGATCACAGACTCTGGCAGGTGGTTAGATTTTAAAGACAGACACGTTGCCATCCATGTCCTCAAATCCTCCTCCTCCCGGCTTTGCAGACGCTTGTCTCATTTTCTTGTCCCTCTCTGAAGCACTTCTGGGATCTTCCTTCTAGAGGGTCTTCATCAGGTGTGATCAGAAAGAAACTTGGTGAACCCCGCTGTGAGCGCCTGCCCTCCAGCAGAAAGGAGCTGGTGGAGACATGTCCGCCTCCATCACAGACCTGGCTCTGTGCCGCCTCTGGCTCCTCCCCAGGGTCAAAGTGACCGTGAACGGGGCCCAGGTCTTTCTGTATCTGAGAGCATCACTGTGACCTCTCAAGAAAGAGGACCTGGAGCTGCTTCTGGGAGCACAGAGTGGCTGACGGGAGGGGATCAGTGCGGGTGTCTCTCTCTGGTACTGGGCATCAGACTCATGGCCTCATGCTGGCCGGGCAGCTGCTTACTCTGCTGAGCTAAATCCCGGCCCCTGGGGTGTCTTACTGGAATTCTCCGTCATCTGCGGTCACCCCCGAGTGTCGTATTTTTGTACTGTTTGCGTTGAGTCTAAAGAGTCCTGAAGGTCGGTGGCACCCTTGGTTATCTCAGCTCCTGCCGTTGTTCCCTGCAAGTGGCCTCAGTGGTCCCCCCGGTGCCCACTCCCTGGTCTGTGCTCCAAGCACCTGTGAGATGCTGGAGGCGTTTCCTGGACTGACGGGGGTGTGGTGGTCCTTTGGGGCGCCTTTCTCTCCCAGTTATTTCTCAAGATCACTGTCAGGAGAGAGTGACTCTGGGGAAGTGAGGGGGGCACAATCAGCATCGCCCAAGGAGGTTGAAGGACCGGGGCCTGGGTCCCTCCACATCTTCTTGACGTGATGCAGAGGACATGGTCCCCCTGGACTCCACACTATTATTAGGGTTGCCATGAGCGGGATGGCCCTCGACAGTTCCCCCCTCCCTCCATCCTTCCCTTCCATTCTCGTTTGAGACAGGGTCTTGCTAAGCAGCCCAGGCTGGCCTTGAACTCACTGTGTAGCCCAGGCTGCCCTTGAATCCAGCAGGCTTCCTGCCTCGGCCTCCAAGTGCTGGCGTGACAGGTGTACACTGCCATGCCCCGATAGAATTGTTTATTTCTGGTGGAGGAATACCTGCTGTGAGGCCATCCATGCCCTGGTGCTGGGGTGACCCTGTCAGTGACCCAGTTCTGTAGAAGTTGTACTGAATGTGCCTTGGGAATGACTAACGGTGTCCTTGTCCATTTCTGACTCGGTGGCCCTAGGAAGAACGACATGATAGGACTCTCGGATTTCTTCGTCCCACAGAGAAGCCCTACGGAACCGTAACGGGGAAGCGCCACCCTGGAGGCCACGCCGGAGAAGGCGTCTCCAGGTCACAGCAGGGCTTTGTCAGCCTTGGCTACAATACAGCTTGCCACTCGCTTGCATGGTACCCTGAGGTTTTCTCTTCATGGAGATGAGGTGTGGCTGGTGCATCCTGGGGCCCAGGCGACCACTGTGTCCACTCTGCCGTGCAGTGGGGGCCTCGGCTGGGTCTGGGCAAGTCACAGGTGTGGGTGACATGGAGACGCATGGTTTCAATGCCACGGCCAGGACTTAGAAGGAGCCTCTGTGACACCACCTCCCCGCGAATTAGCACCTAGAGAGAAGACTTCCCCATTGGTCACTTAAAAATACCTGCCTGGCACGGCGAGCCTGTGGGTTAGAGGAGAAGCCCTGGCCTTGGTGGGAGGGCGGTGCACGGATATGGTCTGTGTTCTGAGCTCGGTCCTTGGTGTCAAGATGCTCCTGGTGGGAGTCCTGGGGGGAGACATCGCGCCCTGGGGACCCTGTTTATAGGGGACGGGGAGGGTGTCCTCACCCGAGCCGGCTGTTCTGTGAGCAAGCCTGAGCCCACATGACTCGGGCTTCCTGCCTCTTGCCGTGAAAGCTCTCTGTGGCCTCACCATGCTCAAGCTAATGCAGGCACCAGTACCCCGAGCCTCAGGGAACTGTGGGCTAAGTCAACCTCTTCTCTTCATAAGGTCCCCCAGCCTTGGAAATCGTGTTATAGCAGCAAAAATGCAAATTCAAAAATATCTGCTTAATATTCCTTAATGGAGGGTTGGAAAAACCAGAAAGTGCAAATCAGCCCCTGGAGACCACTGTGGTAGGGAGTGGCCTGTCCCCTGAGACACGTGCTGGGGGGTGACCTGTCCCCTGAGACACACAGCGGAGGGCCTCGCCCGCTACCAGCTGGTGAATGACTTAATGTGGGGGAAGAGCTTTGTGCTGGCCCCTGCACTTTTCATCTCCAGAGAAAGTGGGTTCTTATCCTCCTGCTGACATCGAGCTAGAAAAAGGACGAGGTAGAGGTGACTCCAGAAATACACTCGCACCTGGCCTGAGGCAGCTCCCATGCGGCCGGGCAATGTGGGGATTTTGTTTTTTAAATGACCAAGCCAAGAGTCTCCTGTCTAACCTGTGATTAGCTGTTGCTTCTTGGCAATCACTGGCTTGCTTATGAATCCTTAGCATGGGAGTTTCAGATGTGGTGAGGTTTTTTTTTTATGTACACCGGTTTAGCAATTAGTGAAGAATTAATATATAAATTATCCTGTGGAGTCTGATTTTGCACCTCCCTTAATTTGCAGCCAATCATTTCTGTCAGTGTCAGACATTTCCAAAGGTCCTTGAAATGCTTAGTGAGGGAAGAATGGGGTGATTTCTGAGAACCCCCACAGGAAGGTGCCCCCTGTACAGTGTTGCTCTGCAGAGTGAGTTCTCCTGGCTGCTGTGTGGTCAGGGGGAGGGTCAGCTTGATTGGATTTGGGGCTTCCCTGGGGACAGGTGGGGTACCCTGCTGGCTGTGTCTGGTGGGTCATGGAGGCGTGGCCTCAGGGTCCATATCTGACCCCCACCCCTTCCTCTCTGGCACCATGAACTGAGCAGCCGTCTTGGTTACTTTTCTCTTATTGCTGAGACAAAATACCCAATGCCCAAAATAAAGGCAGGAAAGGTTTCGTTAGCTCACAGTGTGTGGAGGTTTCAGTCCGTACTCAGGTGGCTCCAAGGCAGGATGGCACTGGGGCAACACCTCAGAGTGACAGAAGACAAGCAAAAGCAGCAGGAGGAAAGAGGAGGGGAGACCAAGCCTCTTCTCCCCCTTTATGCTGTACTCCACCCTGCTCCCTCAGGGCCAGTGGGGCGCTCACGACCTGCCCTCTTCCTGCATGGGATGAGGGTGTTTACAGTGTAAGGACCCCGGCCCCACCAGGTCCCTTGGTGCAATTTCTGAACCTCTCAAGCTGATGCAATGTATTGACTGTAGCGGGGGCTTTGCAGGCCAGGTCCTCCCACCAGATGGTTCTGCTGGGACCCTGCACTGAAACTGTGAGCCTAATCCAGCTCCCCTCAGGGTGCTGGATGCCGGGGATCACGTGTGTCCAGCAATGCAAAGGTGAAGAAAACGGGAGTGGCTGCTCCTGGACCGTGCAGGGGCAGGCTGCAGAAGTGGGGGAGTCCCTGTGGAGGGCACGCCAGGGCACCAGGTCCTCCTGCCCAGGGCTCAGGCCTGCGTCCCTCGTTCTCCCCACACCAGCCTGCATTTCTGTTGTCTGGTACATTTTCCCCAGTGCTGGCTTCCCGTGAGGCAGGAAGACCCAGCACTTGGGGCCGGTGAGTCCGTGTGCAGTGTCTCTGGGTGTTCAGGGACTCCCCAGAGGCTGGGTGGACCCCGCTGTGCACCTTGAGCAGTAGGCAGGTACCCTGTGCGTTCCTGGTTGGATCTGGGCAGCCAGGATGGACACTGCTCCCTTCTGGGCCCGGCCCCACTTGTTGCATTACAGTGTAAGGACCCCGGTCCTGCTAGGTCCCTTGGTGCAATTTCTGAACCTCTCAAGCTGATGCAATGTATTGACTGTAGCGGGGGCTTTGCAGGCCAGGTCCTCCCACCAGATGGTTCTGCTGGGACCCTGCACTGAAACTGGGTCAGCCCGTGCTCAGCCCTGAACACAGGCGTGGACAAGGAAGTGACCAGACGGTGGGCTCTCACAGAGGTGGTCACATAGGGCCTCAGAGGCTGCGGGCACATTTGGATGGGGGACACCATCTGGGCTCAGGCGAGACATTTCAACAGCTGGATCCTGTGCCAGCCGAGGGTCACAGGAAACGGCTTCCACACGACCGGCGTTTGCTGGCGAGGTCCCGTGCCTGGTCCAAGGTAACCCTCAGCAGAAGGCAGGTCAGGGTGCTGTGACCACCCTGCCTACAGTGCCCAGGGAGCCCTGCTCCAAGTAGCTGGTCTAGGGGCATGTGGCTCGTAGGGCGGGGAGGGGCTGGCAGAGTCCTTTCTCAGTTTTCAGCCTGAAGAGGGCTCCCAGTGGGCCACCTGATGGGGAGACCTGCACCCAGGCAGGCGGCATGGATGACTGTTGCTGGGGCAGCAGTGACCCTGTGGATTTCTAGTGCTGTGCCCAAGCTCCACAGGCCAGGCCACTTGTGAGGAATAGAGGGTGCACTTTGAGGAAACAGCAGCCACACTTGAGGGGCTGAATCAGGGAGGTCAGTCGGCTGGCGGGTGATGCAGAGTCCAGCAAACTGGCTCCCCAGCTGTCACAGAAGGGAGCTGCTGCCTTTGAGCCTCCATTCGGGGCTTTTCTACATGCATGTGTGTGTGTGTGTGTGTGTGTGTGTGTGTGTGTGTGTGTGTAAGAGAGATTCTAGGCAGTCACTGTCATGTGTGGTTGCAGTTCATGAGAAGATAAAGAACTCAG